GGATTTTACCATCGTAGTTTCACAAGTCAAGGATGCCACCTCGACATGCCATTTCTGTGGATCTTAAAACAATTATCTTTGAGTTCTTCTGACTTTCAGAAGAAAAAAAAATGACTTAACTTTAAATGAGAAACTTAATTTTAAAGTAATAGCATTATAGTTAAATATAATGGGCCCTTGGCCCAGCAGTTAAGCACTGTACATAGGGAGTTGGATCCCTCATGGCTGACTGGTTTGAATTCTGACTCCGGCAGCTTAAAAAACACGTCAGGTGTGTGTGTGTGTGTGTGTGTGTGTGTGTGTGTGAGCATGCCCAAGTCCTTATGAGATGGAGAAATGGAGGGACGGGATTGTGGTGTGACTATGCCAGGTTGGGGGCTGCTTTCTCAGTCTCTCTGGCGAGTGCATGCACCTTCCATCATCATCATCATCATCATCATCAGGGAGAGTAAATGTTAAGATGGGAAGCAAAGCCTTTAATAAATAAATGTAACAATACATTTTTTGCTATGTATTATTCAGTGCCACAGAAAGCAGGTTCTGCTTCAGAAGGTCTAGGGGAGGGCCCCAGGACACCTTGGAGGTGCTCTCAGTGATGGTACATGGGTCCCTCTGAGTAGCAAGGTCCTAGTCTAGCTTACCTTCTTAGGGATAGCACCCTTGACTTCCCTTTTGCTTTTCATCCTCAAAATATGAGCTGAGCAGTACTGAGATGGGTAATAATGGCAGTGGGAATAAATTAGGTTAAGACAAATCTTGCAGATGCTTAGAGAGTTCTGATAAACCCTTGTCTCCCTTCCCCTCTCCAACAGCAATAACTTCAATCCAGATACGGGTATTAGTAATGTGGACCTGTGAATTCACCAATTCTGAGGTCTTTAAACAAGTGTGTGAGCGATCAAGTAATCACAGAATACTAGAAGTCAAAAAAGGTAGAGATGTCTGGGCCAACAGGTGCCATGGTGGTTAAGGGTGTTGAACTTCCTCGTGGCTGACTACAGTTCAAGTCCCAGAGCTGGTGACTTGCTTTCTCACTTTCCTTCTCACTCTGTCCCTCTCTGGTCAAATTAAAATAAGTAAATACATGAATAAAGTTCAATAAAATATTTTTTAAAAAAAGTATAGAGATGTCAAGAGGACCAGTATAATTACTCTGTAGAGTAACTTCAGGGGGTTTGGCTACTCCACAATCCCTTTTCCTCCATTTTCCTCTTGGGATTTTAGACATGCACACACATGCACCCAGTGTGAGTTTCAAGCTGCTGGGTCCGGGCCATGTGGGATCCAGCATCTTAACCACTATGCCATATGCTAGTCCCACACTGTGATTTTAATTTGTATTTTTCTGATGATTAATAATGTAGAGTACCAGGACCAGCAGATGGCATAATGGTGTTGTCACTGGACTTCCACGTAGTCGATCATGGTTCGAGTTCTGGACCCAGTGGCTTGAAGCTCACACTTGGCAGGTGTATGTGTGTTCCAAGAGCCCAAGAAGAGAATGGAGGAGAAGGGATTGCGGCGTGACCATCCCCCCGGGGGGTGATTTCTCGCTTTCTGTCTCTATGTCTCTCTCTGTCTGTCTGGCGAGCGCACGCGCCCTATAGCAAAAACCTCTCAAAAAGAAAATTAAAAAGTAATAGTAAGGTAGTATACCTTTTATACGCTTATTGGTCACTTGAATTTGGCGGGAGGTGGCACACAGAAATTAATTCAAAATGGACCTTAGATCTAAATATGAAATATGGAGTGAGGTTTCCAGAAGAAAACATAGAAGACTATCTTCTTGGTCGTGGATAGGCAAAGATTTCTGAAACAGGACATAAAAAGTACTAACTGTGAAAGAATATTAATAAAGTAGAATTCATTAAAATGAACTCCTATTACTCGAGATAAAAGATGTTTGTAAAGATAATTGCAAAATATCTAACAAAAATACAGGAAGAAATATAAATCAAAAAGGAGAGGGAAAAAATCCAATATGGGCCAATGACTTGAACAGGCCCTTCATAAAAGAGTATGTGAGATGTTTAGCTGCTTATGAAAAATAGGTTTCCTAATCAGAGATCATGGGAACAAGTCAAACAGTTTCCTGAAGAGGTTTCTGGTCTGTTGAGAAATGACATTCTAATGTGAGTTTCAGTGTTAAAATCACATATGATCAAGGCTGGCAGGTGGCATGGTGGTTAAAGCACTGGACTCACATGGCCAACTACAGTTCAAGTCCCAGACCTGGTGGCTTGCTGTCTCACGTTCCCTTTCTCTCTCTATCTCTGGTCAAATTAAAAAAGAATAATAATAACAAATGAAATGAAATAAATAGATAATTTTTTAAAATAAAAATCATATATGATTTAAAACTCCTCTACAATCCCAGAACTGTGGTTTCCTACCTAACAACAGGACACAGTCACCATAGATTCCGGTATTGCAAGTGTTTCATTACTACTCCCTGTGCATGTTTCTTCTAGAATAAACTCTGAAGAGAATGAAAGAGGTTTTTCAGTCCAGGGTAAGGATAAAATTTCTGCAGTCCCAAACACATTCCTCACTTGCACGTGCCCTGCTCTGGCTCTGTCTCACCTCCTAGGCAAAGATGGCCGCTCCTACCTCCATGACTTCCTACACTTCGTGCTTATCTACCTGCCCTTTAGCATGCAAGGACTCAGCTACCAGTCTTCCCCATCTGATTGACAGCTCCTTAAAGGAAAGGGCTGTGCTAATTCACTTTCGGATCCCTTGTATCTAACACAGTGCAAATAGTAGGTACTCATGTTTCTGAAGGAATAAACTGACAACAAAGAACCTGAAGAGCTACAGAAATTGCAAGGTCTATGTGGGAAGCGCAGAGGGAGCCTTGGGAGAGTCAGGGAAGCTGTGATAGCCTGGGGCTCTAGAGAGCCATCCAGTGTGTCACAGACAGAGTGGTTCTCTACTCTCACATAAAAATGTATCTTCTCCTTACAATAATAATTTTAAGTTAAATCACTGAGAGATAACAAAAGTTCATTGAGATTCTAAGATGGATTTGTTTTGTCTTTGACTTGCTCTGAATGCTCACCTGCGATCTCTGCAACAAACAGATCCATATGGATATGCTGTGCTTTATGAACAAAAGATAAGCCTTTTGATAGGACATACCACTGGAGACGTTTTCTCCCAAGGCTGGAACATCACTCACGTGTCCACTTACCTTCCCTATGAACTTATGTTTCAGGTGGTTGGATAAAATTAATTAGCCAAAAAGCAAAAAAGTTTTTTAAATCTTTTTTCTTTTTTGGGAGAGGATTTTGCTATAGGGCTTATGCACAGTGTGAGTTTAAGCCCCAGGTCCAGGACTCGAACCCCAGTCAACCACATGGGAGTTCAGCGACATAGCCACTACGCCAACTGCTGGCCCCAAAGAGCAAAATTTGTCTTGATCTATGGCTATTAGCTCATCAATGAAATACCTAACTTTAGTGTTGCCTTCATATGTACCATCTTTTAACCCGCTGAACAAAATCAAAGATAATAGAACAAAATCAAAGATAATAGAAGTTAATAATTTAAATTTGAAAGCCATGAAACTGTATTACATAATTTTGATGGTAGTTGAAAGGCTGCCAAAAAAAGCATCAGTCATTGTTTGCTGAGGTACTTTGCATATTACAATGCTGACTACAAAATGTACGTGGACTTGAGAATACACATTTCGATATTTGTTTGCTGAGGTACTTTGCATATTACAATGTTGACTACAAAATGTACGTGGACTTGAGGATACACATTTCGAAAAGATGTAAGACTCTAAAATAAGTACACATATACTAGAGTAATGTTTCCCTGGTTATAGTTAAGTCAGTGACAAAATTAACAAGTTGGACTGCTACCTCTCTGAGCACTTTCTCTAAGATTTCAGCATGCTTCTCATATGGGTGCTCGAAGTTCATCTCCTTTATCACTTTTATATTGTCTTCAATCAAAGAAAGAACCTGTGGATGTGTTGCTGTTACCTCTTCTATTGAGTCTTCAACTGGGAATAAAAGCAAAATAAGCTAATAAATTAATGTCACTAGTACTTTAAAAATAATGATTTATTTTAATTTTTTGTATTATTATTTTAAATTTGCTACAAGGCACCTATACTCACCAGAGAGAGACAGAGAGAGAGGGAAAAAAGTAAGAAAGCAAGCCTCCAGGTCCAGGACTTGAACCACGGTTGTCCAAGTGGGAGTCCAGCACCTTAACCACCATGCCACCTCCCAGCTCCAATGCCATTAATACTTTTAATGGACAATGCTAAGTGCAATAAAACATGATTATTAATATATGACCCAAGAACTCTTTGGGTTATGGCAGCACATGCTGGAAGAAGCAGGGCATAAGTCTAGGAGAAGAAATGAGAGGCAGGAATTACAGAATCACCGTCAGAACAGTGACTGAAAGTCTGTGCATCAGAATGAAAGTGAATGAGTCAAGAAGAAAGTCGTGACAGGCAGGAGCTAAAACTAAGAAAGCTAGGGAAGAGAGGATTCCAAGAATCCAGCTAAAACATAAGCACACAGGGAATGAGTCAGAAAACAAGGCAAATACCTCAAGCTACAAGCATGAGACTACATGGGACAGTAAGAGAACAGCAGGCAAACCGGAGGAGATGGGGAAGGTGGCATAGGTTGGTTTTCCTAGTGTCACACTTGTTTCCTGCCCTTGTGCTGCTGAAGTGTCTCCTTGCCTGGGTGGGGCTCAGGGTGCCCAGTGACATCATGGTTCATCCACTCTGCCAATGAGATAGAACCTTACTCCTCTACCTGCATTTCCAGACAAGCTTCTAAGCTGTGACCCCAGGATGTCTTTCCAGGGCCTGGTAGATTGCAGCCCAGAAAAACCACAAGGGGCCTTCAAAGAGCAGCTACCTGCTGCCCTCTCTGCTTTAAAATGTCCTCAGGGGTAGAGAGAGCTATAGTTCCTGGAGAACCAGAGCTGAAGAGTCAAGAAGCCATGATCTTCTTGCAGCTGGAGGACATGACAAGGCAGAAATACTCAGGTAAAGGTGTTAAATGTCTAGAGCTGCTAGTCGTCTACCCATTATCCAGTCTCCTCTGCTTTTGTCAAGGTCAGCAATATGCCCAGCCAACAAAACTACATCAGGCTGGCTCCTGAGCCTGGTGGTTGAGGGAGCTGATCCCATGTGGCCAGCCATGTGATGAGTTCAGATTTGTGGTATAAAAACCACACTAGATGCATTTGTGTGGGTGCCCAAGAACCCCCAAAGGAAGAGACAGAGGAGAAGGAATTCCAGCATGATCATTCCCCACAGGGATTGCTTTCTCCTCTCCCTCTCTGCCTCTCTCAGGTGAGTATACATGCCCTCCAAAAACAGAAACAAAACAACAAAACCTGCAGCTCTCAATTTCTCTTATAGCTTGGATGACCAGTAAGATGTACACAGAATATCTATATCTATATTTAAAATATATATGTATATATATTTGCGAGTATTTCTGTCATCTCTATAAGGGAGCTGCAGCTGAGTGGAGTGCCAGTTTAGGTCCCTTGCTTTTTTCACTGCTCCTTCTCAGTACACTAACATGACAGCTGCAGTCCTGTGGATTATTATGGCAGTCACATACTAAGGATGGCAGGAGAGAAAGATAGAGCACTTGTCTCCCCAATATTCCTTTTCACTAAAACAATATATCATGCATTATTAGTTCTTGTTTCTGCATGTCCAACTGTTCATAACAGAATAGCCTTTAGGATAGAGTAAGTTGGGTATTGATAATGCTTTTTTAAAAAATCACGCATTTCAGGACCAGTAAATGGCATAATGGTTACGTCTCTGGACTTGACCACAGTAGGAGTCCCAGACTAGGCAGTTCAAAACTCACACCGGGCGCACGTGCACGCACACTTAAAATCCCAAGAGGAGACTGGAAGAGAAGTGACTGTGGCATGGCAATCCCCTCTGGGGAGTGATTTCTTGCTTTCTTTCTGTCTCTGTCTCTCCGGCAAGTGCACATGCCCTAAAGCAAAAATCTCTCTCTTAAAAAAATCATGCATTTGTCCTTGTTAATACTGAAAGAGCTATTTGTACTTTTAAGAACCACATCTAGAGAACCAAATTGCCCAAATGTTAATTAATTACCTTTGTCTGCATCTGTCTTTAGCTCTTGGCCAGGGTCTTCAGAACTCCTTTTAGATGTGGATGGTCCACTGATTTCATTTTCATCTGTATATAAAACATTGTTAACACCTAAAGAATAGAATGTTAAGGATACACGCACACACACACACACATGCGTGGAGACTTCAAAAGTTTATGGAAAAAATGGAAATTGAAGTACAAGTTATTTTGATGCAAAAACACTGAAATCCATACAGAGTTTTTTCATAATACATATTTTCATGAACTTTCTGAAGACTATGTATATAAATCATTGAATGATATTAAAGTAGGGATGCCTGCTTCTCACTAAACTGCTTCCCACAGAGGAAGGACAGCTGGGGACCCCACAGCAGCAGAGGTGGGGCTCCCAGCTGCCACCTGGTCACCAAAAATGTAATGAATGTGGGGCGCACTCCTCCAAAGGTTGTGTGTGAGAGGTCGGAGTGATCCATATGGAAGTTTCTGACAGATGCCAGTTCATTTCATACTAGACTTGCCATAAACAGCAGGAGAGCACATATGCCTGAACCAGCAGGAAGAATCAAACAAAAACACAGATCTAAATTTGGTCTTCAAAAAGTGAATTATGGAAAACCCATGCATGGATTTCAAAATATTTTTGTACCAAAATAAACTCAAATTTTTACTTTCGTTTTCCACAAACTTTTTTTTTTTTAAGAGAGGTTTTCGCTATAGGGCACGTGCGCTCGCCAGACAGACAGAGAGACATAGAGACAGAAAGTGAGAAATCACCCCCCAGGAGGGATTGGCCACACCACAATCCTTTCTCCTCCATTCTTCTCTTGGAATCTTGGGCACACATGCACATGTGCCCAGTGTGAGTTTAAGCCACCCGGTTGACTGCATGGGAGTCCAGTGATATAGCCATTACATTAACTGCTGGTCCCTTTTCCACAAACTTTTTGAAGTTCTCATAGACACACATAAAATCTCTGGTTGAGAGGATATTCGTTAAAAACATAGAGAAAGAGGGATCCAGCAGGTGGTGTGGTTGTTAAGGCTCTGGACACTCCCACATGCCTGACCATGGCTAAAATCCTGGACCTGGTGAATTGCTTTCTCACTTTCTCTGTTTTTTTCTCTGGTCAAATTAAAATAAATGAATGAATAGATAAAAAATTAAATAAATAATTCTTTTTAAAAATATATAGTGAAAGAAATTGACATGTCAAGAAAAAGTAATTTGACTACAAAAGTATGAAAAATACCTCTACTTTAAAAATGACGGGCCACAGGACCACCAGATGGTGTAATGACTATGTCACTGGACTCACACATAGTTGACTGCGGTTTGAGTCCTGGACCTGGTGGCTTAAAACTCATGCTGGGTGCATGTGTGTGCATGCCCAAAATCCTGAGAGGAGACTAGAGGAGAAGGGATTGAGGCATGGCCATCCCCTCTCGGGATGATTTCTTGTTTTCTGTCTCTCTCTGTGTCTCCAGCAAGCACACGTACGTGTCCTCTACCAAAAATCTCTTAACAACAAGAAAAACAAAAACAAAAACAAAAACAAAACAAAACAGAAAAACTGGGCCAGCCAGTGGTGTGGTGGTTAAGGCAGCTGGATCCCACATGCCTGCCTGTACATTCTGAGTCCCGGACCTGACGGCTTGGAAAACGGGCCAGGTGCATGTGTCTACGTGATGCAAATCCCAAGTGGAGAATGGAAGAGAAGGAACTGCAGTTTGGCTACCCTGGGAGTGAGGGGACTACTTTTTCACTTTCTCTCTCTGGCAGGAACATACACCCTATAGCAAATTTTTTAAAACTAAAAAAAAAGAAAAAAAAGGAAGCTTATTTAGAAGACAACCTAATATGGAAAAAAAAAACACAAAAAAGAGAGATTAATATAGAAAGTGTATACAGAGACCACACAATTAATACAATTTAGAAAAATGAGCAAAAGACAAAAGTTGCCACGTCAGAAAAGAAGAAATATGAACAGTTAACAGATACTAAAATAATGAACTTCAGAGGTAAGAATTAAAATAACACTTGAAAAGAGGAAATAATGACATAATTATTTGACACAATGATTACATAATTACATGAACATAATTTGTATATTACTGAGGGGAACATAACTTGGAACAACTTTTTTTAAATTTTTTTTTGTTTATATGGTGCATGTTTTCACTGGAAAGAGCAAGAGAAAGGGAAAGTAAAAAACACACGAAGGAGGAAATAGCCATGCCTCAGTCCCTTCTCCTCCATTTGCCTCTTGGGGTTTGGGGGACACTTGTACACCCACTGGATCTGGAACTTGAACCGCAGAGTTGGTCATGTGGGATCCAGCTGCCTTAACCTCCAAGCCACCTGCTGGTCTCGGAGTAATTTTTATGCAAAGAAATTTGATTCTGTCTATAGCTTCAGATTCATTAATATAGTTAATTCTACCTATTCTAACATACTGACAAAACTTTATATAAAACATTCATTGAAATATTATTTGTAGCACAGAAACAAAAGAAAACAAAAGAGTAAAATAACTTGAATTTCCCACATAAAAAACTGGTTAAGGACTGGCAGGTGGTGTGGTGGTTAATGCACTCGACTCCCACATGGTTGACCGCAGTTTGAGTCCTAGACCTGGCAACTTTCTCTCTCTCTCTCTCTGTGTCTCTGATCAAATGAATGAATGAATGAATAAAATAATTATTAAAAAAAGAACTGGTTAAAATTGGTACCTATATGGCCAGGAGGTTGTGTGAAGAGTAAGGATCCCTCATGGTAGACTCTGGTTTGAGTCCTGGACCTAGCACCTTGAGAGACACACTGAGCATTGTGCACGTGTGCTCAAAATTCTGAGAGGAGAATAGGGGAGAGGGGACTGTGGTGTGGCCATCTATTCTGGGGGAGGTGATTTCTCACTTTCCCCCTCTCTTCTGTCTCTCTGTCTCTTCCTGGAAAACTCATGCAACTTACAGCAAAAAACCTAAAAAGAATAAAAACTAAAAAATAAAAAAAAACTACCTATAAGTAGGATCATTGTACAATATTTTAAAATGATGATTAAAATGTTTTCCAATGAAGTAACATAATGAAATGGTACATTGTTGAGGGGTCAGAGGTGGTGTAATGGTTAAGGCGCTAGACTCCTCTTGCATGGCCAGTTCAAGTCCCAGACTTGGAGGCTTGAAAATCATGCCAAGCACATGTGTGCACATGCTCAAAATCCCAGGAGGAAGGATTGTTATATGGCCATCCTTCCTGGGGGGGGGTTGACTTCTCACTTTCCCTTTTACTGTCTCTCTTTGTCTCTCCCCAGTGAGCACACATGCCCTATGACAAAAATCTAAAAAAAAATTATAAGAAGTACATTGTTAGTGGAAAAAAGGTAAAAATAGTTCACATTATAGTTATTATGTAACATTATAGTTACATAATGCTAATATATAATGTAACGCTACAGGCTTTAGATTTTTCTGTCTATATATATATATATATATATATTGAGTTTTTTGGGCACATATATTCACCAAAGAGAAAGAGAAAGAAGAGAGACAGGAAGCAAGAAATCACCTCCCAGGGGGGATGGCCATGCTGCAATCGCTTCTCCTCCATTCTCCTCTTGGGATTCTGGGCATGCATGCACATGCTCCCGTGTGAGTTTCAAGCCACCCAAGTCTGGGACTAGAATCGCAGTTTACCAAGTGGGAATCCAGTGCCTCAACCTCCATGCCACCTGCTGGACCCTCTGTTCATAATTCGAGTAATTATTTTTTTAAATTCCTATTCTAAGTACAATATGAATAGAACAGTTTGTAAGGGTAAATAGCACAACGAAAAAATGATAAAATCTCACAGCTAAAATTATTGTTTATTATACTCTGATTTCACTACATTAGAGGAATAGAGACCTTTCAAGAGAGCATTTGTAATTATACCATAACAATTGTGCCATATTTGGAAATATTAGACATTTTTTATTCTAATTGTATTTGACTGTTTCCTGTTTTCTTTTTTCATTATAGTAAATCTATTTTTGTCCTCTAGTGATCAATTTAAGGAGCTAGCTTTTTTTCCTCCTGAAGTTTCCAAGTTGTTTCTTTTAAATTTTAAGTTTCAATGTAAACATGATCAAATGTGAAATAAATAGAAATAAGATCCACATGCATGAGATGAACAGTTCATTTTGTTACCGTCTTTATTGACTTTCGCAGCTTGATCATAAAGGACATTTTCTGACTTTGGTTTGGCTTCCTCGGTGTCCCCTAAAGAGCTGTTTCTTTTGGATTCTGGACGGTACACTGCAGTGAAAGGACAGTACATACACTTTATCAACCAATCTAGTTTACTAGGAAAGATCCGATCAATGACATCAAGATACTTCTTTACCTTCTTCCTCAGTTGCAAAATCTTCTTCTAAGCTCCTAAATGTCTTCATTGGGAACTCTTCATCCTCCTTTCTCTCATATTGTCTTTGAAGTTCCCTTAAAGTTATCTCGGCTGAAAGATAAGATCAATAATTGGATGTGCTAGTAAAAAGTAGATGGATGGGGGGGAACCAGCAGTTGGCATAATGGCTATGTCGCTGGACTCCCACGTAGTTGACCATGGTTCGCATCCCGGACCCGGTGGCTTAAAACTCATGCCGGGCGCGTGTACGTGTGTGCCCAAGATCCCGAGAGGAGAATGGAGGAGAAGGGTGGGGGGTGATTTCTCGCTTTCTGTCTCTATGTCTTCCTCTGTCTGTCTGGTGAGTGCACGCGCCCTATAGCAAAAACCTCTCCAAAAAAAGAAAAAAAAAGTAGATGGATGGGGGCCAGCAGGTAGTGTAGTGGTTAAGATGTTGGACTCCTATGTGGCGTGGTTCAAGTCCTGAACCTGGCTGCTTGAAATTCACACCAGGCTCATGTGTGTGTGTGCGCCCAGGATCTGAGAGGAGAATGGAAGAGAAGGGATTGCGGCATGACCATCCCCTCGGGGGAGGGGTGTGTGTGTGATTTATCTCTTTCTGTCTCTCTGTCTCTCTGTGACTGCATGTGCCCTATAGCAAAAATCTTCTCTCAAAATAAATAAGTAAAAGTAGATGGAGGGTCTGCAGGTGTTGATTAAAGTACTGGATCTCCCATGGCTGGCTGTGTGATTCGGGTCTTAGACCGAATGACTTGAAAATCACACTGGGTGTGTATGCGTGTGTGTCCAAAATCCCAAGGGAAGAATGGAGGTGAAGGAATTGTGAAATCACCCTGAGGGGTAATTTCTCACTTTCCCTCTCTCAGTCTTTGTCATTCTCTGACAAGTATATGCACCCTATAGCAAAAACTAAAAAATAAAAAGAAAAGAAAAAAGAAAAGCAAAGTAGATGGAGCTAGAAAGGCAGGTGTAATAATTAGAAGTCCTTGCTTTAAAGTCAGGTGGACATGGGTTTGAGTTCTCTCACTTAAGAGCTGTGTATCTTTGATCAAGATAAATCACTTGATCTCTTTGTCTCTATTTCTACTTGGTAAAAAGGAGGATCATTAAACATAAAGCATTGCTGCGAGGATTCAATAAGATAATGGAGGGAGGCCAGTAGATGGCATAGCAGTTATGTTGCTAGACTGCCACATGGTCGACTGTAGTTCGAGTCCTGAACCAGGTGGCTTCAAACTCACACTGGGCATGTATGCATGTGTGCCCAAGATCACAAGAAGGAGAATGGAGGAGAAGGGATTGTGGTGTGGTCATCCTCCATAGGGGATAATTTCTCACTTCTTCTCTCTGTTTCTCCCTGTCTCTCCTGGTTGAGCACACACACACTATGGCAAAAATAAATAAAGGAAGAATAAAGTAAAGGGTATAAACATTTAACTTGGAAAATGGTTTTCACATAGAAAGCCTACTCCATATTAGGTGCCATTCTTTGTATTGCTGTATAATTTTTTTTGTTAATAAAGCTTCAATGTTCTCCATTGACAAATCTTTCTTAAATATATATTGGGGTGGGACCAGAAAATGGCATAATGGCTATGTCACTGGACTTCCCTGTAGTTGACTGTGGCTTAAGACCTGGACCCGGTGGCTTAAAACTTACACCAGGTGCATGTGCATGCATGCCCAAGATCCCAAGAGGAGAATGGAGGAGGAAGGATTGTGGTATGGCCACCCACCCTGGGGGGCGATTTCTTGTTTTCTGTCTCTCTCTGTTGGTGAACACATGTGCCCTGTATGAAAAACTCTCTTAGAAAATCAAAAAAGGGACCAGCAGGTGGCGTGGTGGTTAGGGGCACTGTTGACCACAGTTTGAGTCCTGAACCTGGTGACTTGTTTTCTCGCTTTCCTTCTCTCTCTTTTTCTCTTTCTGTCCTTCTCTGGTCAAAATTTTTTAAAAAAGTAAAAATAAATAAATTAATAAAGTTAAATAAAATAATTCTTTTATATATATGTGTATATATATATTATATACACATAATATTTTTCTTTCTATACATATACATATATATGTAAAATTCAACAGAAAAAATTCTATTTTTAGTCCTTAAAACCCTTTAAGAAGGGTTACTCCAGGCCAGCAGCTGGTGTGGTGTTAGGGTGGCTGACTCCCACATGGCTGACTATGTGGTTTGAGGCCCAGACCCATTGGCTTGGAAAACACTCCAGATGCTTCTGTGTGCCCAAAATCTGGACTCTCTCTGGTGAGTGCATGAGCCTTATAGCAAAAACAAAACAAACAAAAACAAAATAAAAAAAAAACACACACAAAAACAACAGCAAAAAAGAACCCTATTGTCACTTATAACAGTGAATTTAATTAGAAAAGAAAAGGCTCTAAATGTACAGTGTATGAGAGGTAGTATCTACTTCCATATTCCAGTGGGAAAAGGCAATGTGCAGAAAGTTTCAAAATTTATAATGTTATAATTTGATGTGAAAGGAATTACTGCAGATCAGAAGAAACATTTTATATCACTGTTCCTCCTCCAGGAGTCTAGCTAGCTTCCTCTGTTGATCCAGGTCTCAGTCAAGCACCCCTTCTTTGGAGAGGTCTTTTCTGGTCATTCTCCAACACTGCCTCTGTGGTCACTGTCGGCCCTGTCACCACGTTACGTTTTTCTGTTCACTTCTCATTAGCGTTGTTCTCTTCTCCCTTCTATTAAAATGTAAGCACCAGGAGGACACAGGCTTCATGTATCTGGTGTAGCTTAAGTTAACTTCACATGTTCTAGTTTGACTAGTTATAAGGCTACCAGAGAGACATTCTATCAAAACCAGTCAAGGAAGTTCAAAAGCAGCCATGAAATGGGAACTCTCTCCCTCTCCCTTCTTTTCATTCCCAGAGAAAAATAGAAAACAAAACCAAAAACAACAACTTTGTGTCCACGCTAAAATAATGTGATCGACGGTCAGTGACATACAGGAGAGGCAGCGTGGACAGGAGAAAAGGCACTGGGACTTTACAAACAAGGTTTAAGTCTCAGCTGTGCCACCAGGTGGATGATTTTCCTTTCAAGGAGCCATTTTATCTCCATGAGCCTCAACTTCCTCATCTGTAAAATTAGAGCCCCGTTGTTAGCCCATCACGAAGGGTTCCAGTTTCGCTACATTATGTCTTTTTGAGTTTGAAAGTAGTATTACTTGCATGGAAAGATTTAATTATAACCATGTTGTTAGGGCTGCCTTTTTCTTTTTTTTCTTCAAGGTTGTTGCCATAGGTATATGTGCTTATTGGAGAAGACAAAGAGAAAGTGAGAAGGAAAAGTGAGAAATCACCCCCCATGGGGGATGGCCATTGGATAATCCCTTCTCCTCCTCTCCCCTCCTGGGATTTTGGGCATGCACACACATTTGCCCAGCATGAGTCTGAAGCCTCCAGGTCTGGAACTTGAGTCACAGTCGGCTATGTGGGAGTCCAGGACCTTAACCACCATGCCACCCGCTGGCCCCAGAGCTGCCATTTAAGGCCTAAAATAACAGCAAACTTCACAGGAGTCATGTGGATTGTTGTTGCTGTTTTAATGACTGTGCAGACCAAGGTTAAAACACTGCTCGGATGGTGTCTGCCCAGTAAGTAGACCCCAGAGTAGACAAATCCAAATTCGGAAGCTCTTCCTGATTCTTTCCCTTAGAGGTCTAGAATTGAATTTTCCCCTTTTCTTATGAGTCACTTCACCATATTCATTCCTTCAGTCATTTATTAAGGAGACTAAAATGTACAAGGTGACAAAGATACTAAGAAGAGTAACACAGAGTCCTTGTCCTTAATCAGCCAGGCCTAATTGTTTACATAAACCTAAATCACATTTTTATTACTTTTGTAAGGTTCACCTTGTTTTTTAGCCTGTAGTTCTCTGAGAAGCTTCTCTTTTACAACTTTAATCGCTGTTTCGGTGGTCTCAGCTATAGCATTTTCTATTAATGCTTCACGGGCTTTATCAAACTGTGGTTGAACAAGTTTGGCATAGTCAATGACCTGCAGTGAATATTTGAGAGAAAATCAACATAAGCACAAGCACTGTGAGTATTAAATACATTGTCCAACTCTCTGTCTGTCTGTCATTTATCTGTCTCCATGTATCTGTGTCTCTATCTGTATCCCAAAATAATATCGCTTTAGATACCTTTGGAGTTCACAATTCATGATTTTTGAGTGCTTGTTTTAACAGAAATTTAGCCATTTTTTTCCCTAAGTTTTTTTTTTTTTTTTTTGTCATAGGGTGTGTATACTTGCCAGAGAGAGATAGAGAGAGGAAAAGTGAGAATTCAACCCCCTGCGAGGATAACCATGCCATAATCTCTTCTCCATTTTCCTGGGATTTTTGGACATACATACTTACCCGCCTAGCATGATTTTTAAGTCGCCAGTTCCAGAACTTGAATCATAGTCGACCCCGTGGGAGTCAGTGCCTTAACCACCATGCTACCTTGACCCGTAGTCGTATTTTGAATGTAAAATGTATATACATACACATATATGTACATATCATGTAATATTCAAATTTTATATGTATGTGTATATGTGTGTTTGTGTATGTGTATATGTGTGTTTGTTTGTGTATATGTGTGTTTGTGTGTGGCTTAAACAACACAAACTAAAACTTATACATACATATTTAAAATCAACTTTGTATACTTTGTATACAAGAAAAGGCACACAATTTTAAGTGTACAATTTAATGAGTTTTTATAAACATGTATATAACAAATACAGTCATGACATAGAGTGTTTTTTTAAAAAAATTTGCCAGAATGCACAAGTGCTCGTGGAAAAGAGATAGAGAGCAAGAGAGAGAGCCAGGGAAAGTGAGAAAGGACCCTTTCACTGGGAATGGCCATGCTGCAATCCTTCTCCTCCATTTCTAGCTCCTTCTGGGATTTTGGGCATGCACACACACGCAGCTGGCATGTTTCTCAAGCTACCAAGTCTAGGACTCAAACCACAGAGTCAGCCATATATGGGATCCAGCTGCCTTAACCATGCCATGGGCTGGGCCTACAACTTTTATAACACCCCTCAGAAGATCCTTTATGGGGCTCAGTAGTCTGTTCCTTCCCTGCTCCTTCAGCTACCCAAGCTTTCATTCCTGCGCCCTGACAACCACTTTCCACTTTCTGTCACTATAAAGTTGTGCCTTTTCCAAGTTTCACATGAATAGAATCAGATAGTATGCAATCTTTTTTAGGCTCCCCAACCCAGCAAGGTTTTGAGCCTCGGCAGTGTTTTTGCAGGAGTCCTTTTTATTGCGCAGTAGTATTTCATTGTAGGATATACGTCAGTTTCTTATCCCTTCATCTATTGATGGATATTTTTTTTTTTTGAGAGGTTTTTCACTATAGGGCGCATGCACTCGCCAGACAGAGAGAGACATAGAGACAGAAAGAGAGAAATCACCCCCCAGGGGGGATGGTCATGCCGCAATCCCTTCTCCTCCATTCTCCTCTCGGGATCTTGGGCATGCACGCACATGGGCCTGGCATGTGGTTTAAGCCACCGGTTCTGGGACGCAAACCGCGGTCGACCACGTGGGAGTCCAGCAACATAGCCATTACGCTAACTGCTGGTTCCCTGTTGATGGATATTTTAATTGTGTCCAGGTTTTTTTTTTATTTTTTACATTTTAATACAATTTATTTATTTTATTTTGATTTTTAAAATTTTATTTATATTTTTATTATTATTTATACATTAAATCGCGATTCGTCATTTAGATTGTGAAGAGACTTTACCCAGCATGATATATACCTCACTCCAGCCCAGTTTAGACCACCATGCATTTGGCTATTACAAATAAAGCAGTGGTGACTGTTTGTCCAGAAGTCTTTTTGTGGAGATGTGCTTCTATTTCTATTCACCTAAGTGGTACCTTTGATCTTATGATGAGCTACTGAACTTTTCCGAAGGGTTTGAACTCTTTTGTATTGCTACCGACGATGTAAGAAAGTCAGTTTCTCATATTCTCACCAGCACTTGTTTTTGTGACTCTTTTAAATGTTAGCCATTCTAGTGGATAAGAAGAAAGATCTCTTTGTAGTTTACGGTCAAAACGAGTAGCTGTATTGCATACTAGCTGTATGCAATAACATGACTAAATGTCACAATCAGAAAGTTAAGTAGAAGAAGCCAGGCACAAAGAATACAAATTGTTTAAGTATATAAAGTTTAAAAAAATTGCAAAATGAACCCATGGTAGGGGACCAGTAGGTGGCATGATGGTTAGGGCACTAGACTCCCACATGGCCAACAGCAGTTCAAGTCTCAGACTCGGCAGCTTGTTTTCTCACTTTTTCCTCTCTCTCTTTCTCTCCCCCCATCTGTCTCTCTCTGGCGAGTAAGTTATTAAAAAAGTAAATAATTCTTGTAGGCTTCGTTGTCTGGTTGTAAGGATTTATGTCCTCTCTTGAGATATGGATAGGTTCATGTACCTACTATTTGAACAGAATCCTAACCTGTTTCCTGGCTTTAAGTTTTTTTAATTTTTTAAAAAAATGTTTAATTTATTATTTTTTTGAGAGCTTTTTTTGCTATAGGGCATGTGCGCTCACCAGAAAGACAGAGAGAGACAGAGAGATAGAAAGCGAGAAATCACCCCCCAGAGGGGATGGCCACGCTGCAATCCCTTCTCCTCCATTCTCCTCTCGGGATCTTGGGCACACATGCACACGCACCCAGCGTGAGTTTAAGCCACTGGGTCTGGGACTCAAACCGTGGTCAACTACATGGGAGTCCAGCGACATAGATATTACTCTAACTGCTGGTTCCCTGGCTTTAAGGTTTAAGCAAAGTTCCTTAGCATTTCTTTGATTTAAATTAAAACTGCTTTTCTTGAAATTACCAAGTGAACTTGCTATTAAAAGTAGTTAGATTATTTAAGAAATTGTGTGATCAATACAATGTTGGGGGAAAAGGAATGGAAGTCAACTGTAGACACCAGAGATAGTGTGAGAAGAGGGTGGGAAAGGACAGAGGGTCAGAAATAGGGGTAAGAAAAATACTAGAGACTAGAAATGGAAAATTCTTGACAATAACATGCATGATTAAGCCACTATGCAGTATATTCTGGATGGGAAATCATATTTTGTATGTTGTGATGATGCTTAGGGAATGAATGTAAATTAAGTTTAAAAAAAGTTTCAAAATAAAACCCCTAAAACTGTTTTTCTTGAAATTAAAAAAAAATGCATTAAAAATACCTATTTGATGACTGCAGTAAAATATATAGCCTCAGCTAGGTGCTACTTTATGGTATGTTCATTCTACTCACTGAGGCTTATGCCTAAAGTTGGACTTGTGTTCATGGATATGTATATAACAGCTGTTCTTGCTACTGAAAATATTTAGATGAATTAAGATCTTTAGTGACTCAATAAAACATGGGGCAAAAAGGCATAGAAAGCAAACGTATATACCGGAGACAGTGTGGAAGGAGAGTGGGAGATGGCAGAGGGTAAGAGATAGGGAACCAAGGATGGGGAAAAAAAGCAAAACATACAGGGAACAAGAAATAGAAAATTATTTGTTGACAATAACCTGTATGTTGATGTGCTTGATTGAGCCAATATACAGTGTACTCTGGATGGAAAATCTCATTTTGTATGCTGTAATGTTGTACAGTGAATGAATGTAAATAAATAAATTTAAATTTAAAAAGAATTTAAAAATAAAATAAATAAATAATTCTAAAAAAAAAATACTAACCTATGGTTTTTAAATATAAGTCCATGGTAAAATCATAAAAGAAAAGCCTGGGAATGAATACTATAAAATTTGGGGCAGTAGTAACCTTTGAGGGGGAGAGAGGGAATTGATATTGGGAAGAGGCATGACGGGGGCTTGGGGGTACAAGCAAAGTCCCTTATTTGAGCTGGGTGGGTGTTATATGGGGGTTCCATTCTATGATAATATAGTGAGTTTCACTTTTCTGTGTTTGTCATATTTCACAATAAAAAAGTTAAAAACAAATAAAAAATATCACCCCTTTGTTTCAAAGAATTCAATAGCACTTTGAGTAACTTCAGGCTCCTTCCCATGCTGGCCTGCAGGGCTCCGTGTCTTCCACCATTACCTTGTGCCATTTCTCCTTTCACGGGTGACGCTAAGCACCCTGGCTCTCTGGCGATCCTCGGCCTTCCAATTCCTCATCAGCTCTGCTTTCTAATTTTATTCCAGATCTGGTTCCTAGCTCTTACTGCTGGCACTCTAGTCTAAGCTGAGGTTATTTCTCTTTGTTTAGTGAGAGGAGAAAGATCACTATGGGGAGAAGAGGGCAAGGCACTGGCAGGCCAGAATATTGAGAGGATCATCTTTGTAGGTACCGAAACCCCTGAGCATCAGGACAGAACTGAATGAGAATGAGCCAAGAGGAGCATAACCCAGGAACCAGGATTTGAGCGGAACCAAGAAAGGTACTGGGTGGCTTAGTGTGGGGTTTGGGGACAGCAGAGAGGGACTGTGTTCTGGCAGTGGCAAGAGGGAGCAAGGAGGATGCCTTCCCCACTCCCCACCTGCTAGGAGAATTATCTGATAGTGTAAATTAAGAAAATTGAGTACCAAAAAAATCCTACAAGCTATAATCCAGTATAGACAGATGAAAGGAAGGGTAGTTAGATAGACAGGTATGCGGAGTTACCTTTCCTTGGTAATTTTCTGCAAGCATATTGCAAAGTGTTGTCTTCCCTGAGCAGTCAGGTCCAAATACGAATACTTTACAAGGCGGTGCTGGCATAGGCGGAAGGAGATAGGGACGCGGGTTCAACAAGAATGTTTTAAATACTTCTTCTGATGAAAGACAGTACATTCTACCTAGGAAGCTGAACACGTCACAGAATAATAAGCAGCTGAAAAGCTGACTGGGTAAGTTTTCAAATTAAGTCGTGAAAATCTTACTTACCTCACAGAAAAATCTGGTAATCCTGAATAAATGTTACCTTCTTTTAAAGTCACCGGGCAGGTACGCCCCCATTTGCTTCTCTGCCATCTGTATCTTGGTGCGATGAGTTTGTAAGATGAGAGAGTGTGGAACAGCTCTTCCTGCGAACGCAGACAGCGCAGTTAAAATGGAGGCACGCGTTTCTTATTTGATAGTGCTTTACTGTTTAAGAGAAAGCTTAGCAGGCACATTTTTTGTTTGTTTTAACTGTAATATTCTGCACTTGGCCTAGATTTAGTAAGACTAGTTTTCATTTCTGTTAGAAAATCGTGTTTACATTTTACTGAACATTTTCTATCATATGGTGGAATGAGCATAAGGTAGATAAAGCATTTTTAAAAAGCACCTTCTTCAGAATATACTGAAGACCCATAAAACAAAAATAAGGGGCTAGCAGGTGGTGTGGTGGTGAAGGCACTGGACTCCCACATGGCTAACTGTGGTTCAAATCCTGTACCTGGTGGCATGTTTTCTCACTTTCTCTCTGGTGAGGACACATGCCCTATAGCCAGCTTTAAAAATTAATAGTAATAAGATTTAATAAAATTTGGGAACTGGCAGTTAGTGTAATGGCTATGTCGCTGGACTCCCACGTAGTCGACCGCGGTTCGCGTCCTGGACCTGGTGGCTTAAAACATGCCGGGCGCGTGTGAGTGTGTGCCCAAGATCCTGAGAGGAGAATGAAGGAGAAGGGATTGTGGCGTGACCATCCCCTCTGGGGGGAGGTGGTAATTTCTCACTTTCTGTCTCTATATCTCTCTCTGTCTGGCGAGCGCACGTGCCCTATAGTGAAAATCTCTCCAAAAAAAAATAATTAAATTAAATTTAAAAACAAAAACGAGACAGCATAAAAAAAACTATTGGGGCCAGCCAGCAGATGGCATAGCAGTTATGTTGCTGGACTTCCACATGGCCGATGATGGTTCAAATCATGGACCTGGTGGTTTGAAACTCATACTGTCTCTGTGTACCCTCCTGGGAGGAGAATGAAGAAAGGATTGTGGTATGGCCATTCCTTCTAGGGGAGGGGGGAGGGACTGATTTCTTACTTTCCCTCTCATTGTCTCTGTCTCTGTCTCTCTCCCATAAGCACATGTGTCCTAAGGCAAAAAAGTCAAAAAAAAAAAAAAAAAAAGGTTAGGACTCCCTTCTAGTAAAACAAGGCACCCTACACACATGTAATTATGTTTGCTGCTTTCCTAAATAAAACATCACTTAAATGACAGTAGAGGGGTTTAATAAAATAGGGAGAAACTCACAAGGACACAGAGAATGAGAGCAGTGACCAGAGATGCTGGTCAGAGCTGACAGCTGACCAGCCATGGCTGCACAGTTTTCTAGGGTAGTAAAAACATGGATGACCGGTAACGGACTTAGGTCAGAGAAGGGTGAAAGCCAGATATCAGAGGTGGCAAGAACCAGTGTGGGATGGGGTAAGGACAACCAGTTCATTCACTCTGTAAAGTCCTAGAAAGACATGGCGCCTGGTGATTAACCTCTAAAGAAGGATGACTGGAGAGCAGGGGGCAAAGGAAGATTGGGTAGAATCTTTAAAAGGAGGTGCTGCTGGCCACAGGCATTCCCCTCTCCAGTTGGCCAGGCGATTTTCATGTCCTTCCCATCTTCCACCACCTGTCCTTCAGTCAGAGGACTGGAAACAAGCTTTCTAAGAAGCAGAACCAGAGGATCAGTGAGCGGGATCTCTGACACAGCCAAGTCAGGGGAGCTGTGTGTGTGGGGAAAATGGGGCATGAAAGCTGGTAGCTGCAGCCGCCATCCTCAAGCTCCCCTCCCAAGTTTCTCAGTGAATACTTGAACCCTCCCATGAACCAGCAACCTGCTAGTTTTTTTTTTTTTTTTTAAGAATTATTTATTTATTTATTTATTTATTTATTTATTTTACATGAGTTTTGCTAGAGAGAGAAAGAGAGAGTGAGAGAGGAAGAGTTTAAAAGCAAGCCACCAGGTCCAGGACTCAAACCGTGGTAGCCCATGTGGGAATTCCAACGCCTTAACCACCACGCCACCTGCTGGCCCACAACCTGCTAGTTAATGCTTGCACAACAACAGATATGCAGTTCTACTGCCAGCTCTGCTGTGGCTGGGTGAATGGAATGCCCCATATGGTATAGCCTAATTGGCCAGGCCCAGAACAAATGAAACACACAGGAACATTGTTTTAAAATCATGAAGAATTTCAAGCTGGTAAAAGCAGAGCATTATGAAGTAACCCGGGGCCCATGCAAGCACACGATCCCGAGTGAAGCCCAGGAAGCCAGCCCTTCTGCTGTAACCAGCTACAGATATTCTGAACTTCCTCATTGGTTCCAGGCCCTCTGCAAACATTTCATGTACTCCCTACAATAGTACTGGGCCATCAGGATTACTGTCCCCTTTTTTAAATGACTGAGTAAAGGGCAAGGTTCAATAAAGTCATAGATCTGGTAGGCTGTGAAACTGGAATTCAAATCCAGGTCTGTCTGATTTAAAAATCAATGGGGTTACCTTCTGCTGTGCTGGGTGCCAGCCTGGCACTGTCCTTCCTCCTACCACGTACACCCACACCCATGATCCAGCCTCTCCTCTCCAACAGCTCATCAATGTCACAGCTCTCACACTGTCCACCAGGGAATTAGAACTCATATTATAGACGTTATGTCCCTCTTACCCCCTTTAAAAATGATTTATTTTGTTTTATTCATTATTATTTTCAAATAGGACCAGAGAGATATACACAGAGAGAGAAAAGAAAAGTGAGAAAGCAAGCTGCCAGGTCTGGGACTTGAACCGTGGTCGGCAAGGTGAGAGTATAGAGCCTTAACCACCACTCCACCTGCCAGCCTCCCCTCCCCCTTTAACCAGTGGTTCTTTTCCCTGGCCACATAGTAGAATCTGCCAGGGAGGTTTTATGGTTTTGTTTTTTCAGTTTTGGTAAAATATACATAACTTACCATTTTAACTACCTTTAAGTATACAATCCAGTGATATTAAGTATATTCACAGTGTTGTTACTACTATTCATTTTCAGAACTTTCTCATCATCCCAAACAGAAACTCTGTACCCACTAAACAAAAACTCCCTATTTTCTGCTCTCTGCAGCCCCTCTTACTCTCAATCCTGCATCCTGTCCCTAGGCACTTGCCTACTCTAGGCACCTCATACAAGTGGAATAGCGCGCAGTATTTGCTGCGCTATTTACTGTTTATGTGTCTGGCTTGCTTCACTTAGCATAATGTTTTTGCGGTTCATTCACATTTTAGCATCTATCGAGATTTCACCCCCCCCCTTTAAGGCTGAATGGAATTCCATCATATGTATATGCCACATTTTATTTATCCATTTATTCACTGATAGGCCCTGGCATGTTTCCACCTTCGGGCTATTATGAATAGTCTCTATGAACACTAGTGCACAAATATGTTTGAGTTCCTGTTTTCAGTGCTTTGGGAGAAATACCAATCCAGGAACATGGGCTGGCCTTCCATTTTATTGTGTCCTTTTTGATTTCCTTTTTAAGGTTTTCATAGTTTTCCTTATAGAAGTCTTTGACTTCCTTGGTTAGTTTTATTCTTAAGTTTCTTACACTTCTTGTTGCTATGGTAAATGGGGAAAAATATGGAACACTTCACAAATTGCCTTTGTCCATTTTGATAAGAGTTCTTTATATATCCTGGATATTAATCCCTTATCAGATATATGATTTGCAAATATTTTCCTTCATACTGGGTTATCTTTCCACTCTATTGATAGTGTCCTTTGATACACGAAGTTTTTAAATTTTTATAAAATCCAGTTTACCTATTTTTTCCCCTTGTTGCTCTGCCCTTTGATGTCATGTCTTGTTGTTCTGTTTTAATTAATGCCAGGATCCTATCCCAGAAATTCTGTTTTAACTATTTGGACATTGGTTCTTGTAGGTGACACCATTGTGAAGTCAGGGCTGGGAACCACTGCTTTAAAACATTCTTATGACATTGATTCTCTAAAAATCACCTGTCTTAGCTGAAGGGCACCTGTTAGAGATAGCCAAGACATACAGGAATTCATAGATCAATCAACTTTAATCAACCAGGCTCCTTTGGTTTCTCAAATGTTAAAGAATGGGTTCTCACACCTAAGTGGATATAGGAATCCTTTCTGGATCTTGTAAAAATAGATTTCCAGGTCCCATCTCCAGACACTCTGTTCAGTCGGTCTGGGATATGGGCCTAGGATGTATGTTATTTGCAGCAAGCTTCCCTGGTGCTCTGTTGGGATGTAGTCTGGACTGCCAGGGAGAAACACAGCTTAAGGGATGTGAGTAATGACTTCAGCATACACAGTTACAACACCCTTCTCCTCTTCCATGGAAACGGGGGGAGGCACACCTCATCATACACCGATGAGTCGCTACCTTACACCTATGCATGCAATGATCTCCAAGGACAACTTTCTAGCTGAGAGATTTCTTGAAGGTTTTATTTCCTGTGCTTTGGGGGTCTTGCTTAAGAAGTCTTTGCCTACCCCAATGTCTCCCAGAGTTTTCCCAGTGTTTTCCACTTGTAGTTTTATAGTTTGCAGTCTTAGGTCTGCATCATTTTCCTTCAATGATGACCTAGAAGAGGAGGCCTCAAGTACATGGCTTATTTCCCCAGCCTCATGCTGACCAGGCCACCCTTCCTCCTCTTTAGCACCTGTTTATGTTACTGAGGTGCCAGCGCATATTCTAGCTCTGCTTCCCCACTGAGATCTATGAGTTACATGGTACAAGATAACAAATAGCATGTTTCTTCAAAGATTATTTTATTTGATTATTTGATTTGATTTGATTACATCCATTTATAGTCTTGGTATATGTGTGTGTGTGTTTAAGTTTCTATTCATATAGGCTTAAATAAACTTTGCAAAATAGTTAAAATCCTAGAATTAAAAGTTAACTTTTAATTCTTTTAGAACTTAACAGCTATCATTCTGTCCAGCTTAGGCCCGGCAGAACGGCTCCCGCAAAGAAGGGTGGAAAGAAGAGGGGCCATTCTGCCATCAATGAGGTGGTGACCCGGGAACACACCATCAACATTCACAAGCACATCCACGGCGTGGGCTTCAAGAAACGTGCCCCTCGGGCACTCAAAGAAATCCGGAAATTTGCCATGAAAGAGAGGGGGACTCCAGATATGTGCATTGATACCAGGCTCAACAAAGATGTCTGGGCCAAAGGAATAAGGAACGCTCCATATTGAATCCATGCGCAGTTTTCCAGAAAACAAAATGAGGATGAAGATTCACCTAACAAGCTCTACACTCTGGTGACCTATGTACCTGTTACCACTTCCAAAAATCTACAGTCAATGTGGATGAGAACTAACTGCTGATTTTCTCATATAGGCTTAAATAAACTTTGCAAAATAGTTAAAATCCTAGAATTAAAAGTTAACTTTTAATTCTTTTAGAACTTAACAGCTATCATTCTGTCCAGCTTAGGCCCGGCAGAACGGCTCCCGCAAAGAAGGGTGGAAAGAAGAGGGGCCATTCTGCCATCAATGAGGTGGTGACCCGGGAACACACCATCAACATTCACAAGCACATCCACGGCGTGGGCTTCAAGAAACGTGCCCCTCGGGCACTCAAAGAAATCCGGAAATTTGCCATGAAAGAGAGGGGGACTCCAGATATGTGCATTGATACCAGGCTCAACAAAGATGTCTGGGCCAAAGGAATAAGGAACGCTCCATATTGAATCCATGCGCAGTTTTCCAGAAAACAAAATGAGGATGAAGATTCACCTAACAAGCTCTACACTCTGGTGACCTATGTACCTGTTACCACTTCCAAAAATCTACAGTCAATGTGGATGAGAACTAACTGCTGATTTTCAAATAAAGTTATAAAACAAACAAACAAAAAAAGAACTTAATAGCTATCATTTGCTCACCACAATATCCATAGCACATCAGTCCCAGGAGCACAACAGTCACTCCAAATGATTGAATGGTTGAAGGAATGAATGATTAGAGCGTTGAAGGCTTTTATGTTTTTCTTTTCATTGGTACTGTGGAATTTTTTGTCAACTCAGATTTCTTTCTTTTTCATTATTCCTATGACACATTGTTCTGATTGTATTGTTTTGCCTTGTTTCAAAACTTTATTTTTTGTTTTTAATGTCCAAAAGAATAGTGTTCTAATATTATAGCTTCCTCCAAGTCAAAGTCATTTTTAGAAAAGGTATGCTGAAATTCCTTTTAGATCTTAAAAGGACATAAATTAAGTAATAACATATATTGAAAAAATAGACTTTAAAATAATTAAGCATCACTTACATTTTCCATTATGTCATTAATTTCTTCCTCTGCACTCTGAAGTTTAGTTAAAATAGCTGCTCTTCTGAGGTTCAGATATTTCAGTCGCTCCATAACTATCTAAAGTTAGAGAACAACAACAAAAATCCATTGGCATTTGAATATCTCAAACATTCTGAAACAGTGACGCAAGCCCAAGCTCCCTCTGAGACTTGTGGAATCCTTGCATGCTTCTTCCTGCCTTCTGTGGTTCTCTGGCAATGCTTAGTGTCCCTCAGCTTGTACCTGCATCTCTCTAGTTTCTGCTTCTGTTGTCACATGGTCGTCTCCTCCCTGTGTGCTTGAGAATCTTCGCCTAACCCATATTGAATTACAGCCTGTCCTAATTCAGTAGGATCTCATCTTAACTCAATTGTATCTGCAAAGATCTAATTTTCAAATAGGGTCACATCCACAGGTATCGGGGTTAGAACTTCAACATCTCTTTTTAAGGAACGCATTTTGATCCATAACCATCTGCCCTCTGGTTCCTAAATAGTCACGTGAGATATTAACTTGAATTTGAGAGTTCCCAGCATTTAGAACTGAATAAAGTCTCTCTCGGGGTTGACAGAGGAGAGCTCACAAGAAATGTGTTCTGTGGCCTTCCAGCAGTAGAGGTTAGAGATGTGGAGTGCCCAGTGAGATGTTCCGGACCTGCTGTGGTATGGGGTCTGACAAGCCAAGGGAACAGGAAGGAAGCAGCGATCAGCTGAGTCGAATGTTTCTTTTAGATTGAATTAGAGGAAGGGTGACAAATGACCACTGGCTTTGGTCATGAGCATATCACTGTGACCTTGGCAGGGGCATGTCTCAACTGAGGAGCTTCTCTTTGACTCTACCACTGGCATTGTTACCATGTTGCCACCAACGAGGTCAAGGCAGACATCTGAGCATTATCTATGACTTTTCTTTCTCCCTTAATTCCTACAACCCTGTCATGTAGACTTCTTCAATCTCTCTCAGATCTGTTTTCTTCAGTCCTATGGTCACTATCTTAAGTTAGGCAGCCATCTCTTACTGGACCAATGGCAAAAGCCAGAAATAGATTTTACCAGTTTGATTCTCTTTCTGTTTTCTCTTTACACTGCAGTCTGAATGATCTTTCTTAGGTAGAAATAGGATCAGGCTGACCCAGTAGCCTGGTGGTTAAGGGAACCAGATCCTACATGACCAGCTGTGGTTTGAATCTCAGTCCTAGTGGCTTGAAAGACACACCAGGCATGAACGTTTGCATGCCCCAAATCCCAAAAGGATATAGAAGTGGAGGAGAAGGGATTGCAGTATGACTATGAGGTGTACTTTCCCCCTTTCCCTCTCTCTGTCTTTCTCCGGTGAGTGCAGGTGCCCTTAGGCAATTAAAAAATGTAAATAGAAATAGGATAGTTTTCACTTGTTGGCTGCCTACTCACTCAGAATAAGACCTAAACTCCTTAACATCACTTCCAAGGTCTTTCCTGGTACAAGCACTGCTACTTCTAGAGTTCTGCCACTATTCCAGTACTCCTATCTCATCCCCAAAGCTCCAGTCATACATTCAGTTCCTAAACTCACTATGCTCTTTCATAGCCCTGGGCCTTTCCAGACTCTTCCCTTGGAATAGGACACCATCCAATCTGCCCCTTCCCTAGCCTTCAAGGTCTAATTCTAGTCCTTTTTTTTTTTCTTTTATCTTTTAAGTTTTCACCATAGGGCACGTGTGCTTGGCAGAAAAAGAGAGATAGTGAAAAATCACCCCTAGGGGGTATGGTCACATTATCATCCCTTCTCTTCTCCCCTCAGGATTTTGGGCATGCATGCACACACACCTGGCATGATTTTTGAGCCCCTAGGTTTGAGCCGTTGTCGGCCATGTGGTAATCCAGCACCTTAACCACCATGCTACCTATTGGCCCACTGTCATTTAACTTTCAACTTAAAAATAATTTCAAGCAGGTGGGCCCTCATTATCAGACTAAGTTTTGTCTTTCTGCATGAAATATCTTATATTAATATTTACCTGATTATAACACAACTCACTCTTTAAATATTATTCTCAATATATTGGATGCTACCTGAAGGGAGGGACTCGTGGACATGGGCTCATCTGCCTCTTTCGCAATTTATAATGCCAGACAACTACTAAGAGCCTAAGGACAGTTAATGCATTTTGTATTATGGGTCTTGTTTTGTTTTGTTTGGGTAAACTATTTTTGGGTTCCAGTTTCTCCACATCCTCATCAACACTTGTTATTATCTGTCTGTGTGTATATGTGTGAGTTGTTTTTCCCTCACTTCGGCCATCCTAGTTGATTTATCTTGTTATGGTTTTGACTTTTATTTCCTTAATGACAAATGATGTTAAACATTTTATTATGTGCTTATTATCTGCTATTTGCTTTTACTTTTCTATAAGGTACTTTTTAACATAGAGACATTCTCAATTCAGATATAGTTCCAAGAGAAATCTGAACAGATAAATAAATACAACATCAAATTTTTGTGTCAAAATAAATTTTCAAAAATAAATGGTGGTACAATGTAAAGATATTTCTGCTTATTCAAACAAGCAAATACTGTGAATTGTATTTACATCTTCCAGACTGGGAGATCAGAGTGAACATGCACTGACCATAAAGAGTTCCTCTGGTGTCTTGTTTCCATTAAGCTCAATGAGATACTGTGGATCGTGCTCAGCCATTATTTCCTGCAGGAAAGAGAAAGGAAACCTTATAATCCAGGCCATTGGGAAAACTGAATACAAAATTAGAATCTGAATACACTATGAAGAAACCTATTAAGCTAAATCATGTGTCCTATATATGTTGTAATGTATGCTATTTTCAGCGCTCAAGAGATTTGTTTGTAAATCCCATGCTAGTTTTTGCAACATGAATTTTATTTTCCCTGTTTTTTTTTTTTTCATGTTTTCTAAACACTGAAGTCTTAAAGTCCTTCCCAGTATAAAATGTTTTGGGGATATCTGTCTATCTGTATATATTCATAGTTTTGCTATCTGATTTTGAAATCATAGAAGAGTCTGATTGAAATTTAAGTTACAGACTTTCTTCATACAGATACTAACATTATTTGAAAAAATACAACACATCTTCATTATTTCGTGACACATTTTACTTTTCTTTCTTCCTTTTTTTTTTTTTTTTTTAGGTTTTTTCTTAAGGGGATGTTTGTCTGGCCAGAATTTTTGCTATAGGGCATGTCTGCTTGCCAGAGAGACAGAGACACAGAGACAGAAAGCAAGAAATCACCCCCCTGGGGGAATGACCATGCCACAATCCCTTCTCCTTCATTTTTCTTTCAGGATTTTGAGCATGCACGAACACGCACCAGCTGTGAGTTTTAAGCTGCTGGGTCCGGGACTTAAACCGTGGTCGACTTTGTGAGAGTCTAGCAACGTAAACATTACACCATCTGCTGGTCAAGAGTGACACATTTTCCTTAAAGAAAACTTAAAAAACAGTCAAGTAGAAAGAAAAATGTCTTTAATTCAGCCTCCTGAAGGAAACTATGATTACTGTTTCCTTCCCATGTTTTGTTTCATGAAATTTTGTTTGCAAAATCAAGATCATAATGTAGATATAATTTTAGAGCTTACTTTTTCAATTAACCTTCTATAATTTTACAAAACTGCTGTTAACACAACATTTTAATGTTTTTATAAAGTAACACACAATGGATATGGCATTTATTTGATGTTCCTTTGCTGTTTGACATTTAGGAAGGTTACAACATTTTTATAGTTGTTTTTAAATATTTCTTTTTGTTTTTTTAACGTTTACAAATTATATTTGCCTTTATTGGTTGCAATTTGTACAAGTTACTTTCGTAATTACTGAAGAAGAACATACTCAGGGAGGTCCGGGATATGAACTTAGCATCTTTCCTTATAATTCAAGCATTGTGAAGCAGCATCGCCACCACCTGTGCCACTGGCTGGGCCCAGAAACCCCTTTCTTTTAGACCATTTTAGCGAACATTCTCTCTATAGCAATAATCAGAACCAAATCAACTCCTTAATTATCCAGTGTATCATTTTCAACAGTATTCTGTGAGGTTGGAGTCCAAGTGTTTATTTTCTTCTGATAGACAACAGATTATGCCATATTATTTATTTACACGTAAATAGCTGTATTCTGAACAAGACAGTATGTAGTGTCCTTCTGTATTTTAGATTTTTTTTTCCCCCTTAAGCTAGATTCCTAAGAGTGGACTTACTAAATCGCAGGTATGAACACTCCTAAGGAAGCAGATACATGCGCTGGGAATCAAGCTGGGATTCAGAGACAGGCAAGGTACAGCAGAACGTGGTGTGCACAGACCACTCCCCTCGCATCTCTTGGAAGCACACTGAACTATAGTGGTCTGGGCCTCCAGGAGATGTCTTACTGCAGTGTGGCCATCTGCCGGGGGGGGGGGAAGGTGATTTATCATTTTGTCTCTCTGTCTTTCTCTCTGTTTTTCTAGTGGGTGCACACACCTTATAGCAAAAATCTCTCTCTCTCTCTCTCTCTCTCTCAAAAAAAAGGAGAATTATTTAATAATAATATTATTTTTTTTAATTGAGTGAGAGAAAGCTGCCAGGTCCAGGAGTTGAACCATGGTCCGCCACGTGGGAGTCCAGTATCTTAACCACCATGTCACCTGTTGGCCCCTCCCTTCTGATTTTTGAAAAATGCAGTTCATTTGTCAGTTTTCAGAAATAGTTTCTTCATAAGAGTGAGATAATATCATTGTGGGAAGCAGCCTTTGGGATTGGAAGTCTTTTTGTATGGATTTTCTACCAATTTCAATGAGAGAATCAGAGATACACATGGGGATGAAAACATGTGAAAAGTATTTAATCAATAATATAATACAAATATGAATATTCCCCCTTTTAGAAATACATCTTGTTCTTACTTCTAAACACTGAAGAACTATCTCATTATAGAGTTTAACAGTGTTTTCAACATTTTCCAGATAGTCTTCAGGTCTCTGAACTAGATGTTGGAGAATTTCAGCCACCATCTGCATTCCAGCAATAAATGCCTAAATGGAAAAGAAGAAATTTTAAGTATCCTTAGCCAATGATTATTCAATTTACAAGCCACATTCCTCCCTTCTTACACCGAGATGCCATTTTGCGGTGAAAAGAAGACGAGAAGATTAGAGATTGAAGAGTATTACTTAAGAGAGATTAACCAATTCTAAGGGATCTTTTTTTTTATTTTATTTTTTTTTTAGAGAGGTTTTTGCTATAGGGTGTGTGTGCTCGCCAGAAAGACAGAGACAAAGAGACAGAAAGTGAAAAATCACTCCCCGGGGGGGAGGGTCATGAGTTGAACCATGGTCCGCCACGTGGGAGTCCAGTATCTTAACCACCATGTCACCTGTTGGCCCCTCCCTTCTGATTTTTGAAAAATGCAGTTCATTTGTCAGTTTTCAGAAATAGTTTCTTCATAAGAGTGAGATAATATCATTGTGGGAAGCAGCCTTTGGGATTGGAAGTCTTTTTGTATGGATTTTCTACCAATTTCAATGAGAGAATCAGAGATACACATGGGGATGAAAACATGTGAAAAGTATTTAATCAATAATATAATACAAATATGAATATTCCCCCTTTTAGAAATACATCTTGTTCTTACTTCTAAACACTGAAGAACTATCTCATTATAGAGTTTAACAGTGTTTTCAACATTTTCCAGATAGTCTTCAGGTCTCTGAACTAGATGTTGGAGAATTTCAGCCACCATCTGCATTCCAGCAATAAATGCCTAAATGGAAAAGAAGAAATTTTAAGTATCCTTAGCCAATGATTATTCAATTTACAAGCCACATTCCTCCCTTCTTACACCGAGATGCCATTTTGCGGTGAAAAGAAGACGAGAAGATTAGAGATTGAAGAGTATTACTTAAGAGAGATTAACCAATTCTAAGGGATCTTTTTTTTTATTTTATTTTTTTTTTAGAGAGGTTTTTGCTATAGGGTGTGTGTGCTCGCCAGAAAGACAGAGACAAAGAGACAGAAAGTGAAAAATCACTCCCCGGGGGGGAGGGTCATGCTGCAATCCCTTCTCCTCCATTCTCCTCCATTCTACTCTTGGGATCTTGGGCACGCATGCACACATGCCCGGTGTGAGTTTAAGCCACCAGGTCCAGGACTCGAACTGTGGTCGACCACATGGGAGTCCAGCGACATAGCAATTACTCCAACTGCTGGTCCCACTTCTAAGGGATCTTTATCAGATAGGATGAAGCTTTAAATTTGACTCTAGGACGTGTTTATTTCTTTTTGTTCCACAATAAGTAAGGAGGAGCATTATTGGGAAGCAAAAAGATTAGATCTTTAGAGACAAAATAGAGAAATTATATTTTCTCTGAATACCTGGACTTTAAGTTCACTCATTCATTCATTCAGTAAACATTTATTGAGTGTCTACTATATACTAGGAAATGCCCTATGAGCTCAGGATACAACAGGAACAAAAACAATGATCACTTAGGCTCACAGAGCCTGCATTGCATTTGGGGAAGACAGAACATAAACAAGTAGGCTATGAATATAGAACATACTGTGTGGTGGTAAATACTGAGAAGAAAAGTAAAGCAGGGTGGAGAAGACAGAAAGTTGCGGGAGAAGGTGCTATTTCATATTAGTCCGTCATGACAGGGTTTTCTGAAGAAGTGACATTTGAGTTGAACCAGGAGGAAAGGAGGAGAGAGCACGTGGGTTTCTAGAGAAAGAATTTTCAAGAAAGAGGGAACGGTACACGGAAAAGTTCTCAGTTGAAAGTCTGGCACATGCTAAGTGTTCTATGCATATTTATTATCATAACTGTTTATTATTCCTAGTTTTTAATCAATGCATAAACATGCATATTTTATGTATTTGAGTCATATGATCATTATTTCCATGAAATGAAGCAGACTAGCTGTCTGAATGTAGAGGGATTTCTATACTAGCAAGAAGTTTAAATTTAACCTTGAGATTATGATCTAATGGCTCTTAAATATATATCTTTGCTTATTTCTTCCAGAATCAATAAAAATTTAGCAAAAAGTAGAATTTTCCCCAGTATCTGCTGTTTTCTATTGCCCATGCTAACATTTAATTTAGTTCTAGCAAATTTTAAAAATATAGTATTCGGTAATGACATAATGGCATATTACCTCCTCTTCTTCTTGTTCTTCTTCCTCTTCTCCTTCTTCTTCTCCTTTCCCTTCTTTTTGGGCTTCTTTCTTCTTTTTCCTACGACTCTCGATGACCTCAGGATCCCACTGATTTCTAGCGTATACGTACCCTGTGCTACTGTGCTGTCTTTGTCCAGAAATTCTTCGGCATAAATCATAGTCAGGGCACTAAGGAACAACATTATTAGTGCATCTGAAATATTTGGAATATGCTTTTAATTCCTACTTATCTCTGATGCGATACAAAAGCCCAGAAAGTTCCTTGTGAACCGGGACAAAGGTAATAATGAGGCATTCTGCACGGGATTTCATTATTTGCCAAGAAAGGTACAAAATACAACTTTCATACTCTGCTAACATTTCTATTTATCCAAAATTAATACATAAGAGAAAGCATTTGACAGTTTAAGATGAAGAAAGAAGGCTATAAAAACAGTAGAAAGAGCAGAGAAATAGGAGAGAAAATCAGTTTGGTCTGCAAAGGTACACAGAATTTTAGCTTGAGAAGACTGAGAACGGAGGAAAATGGGGGATGGTCGAGTACTTTCAACAAAAAGGAATGCGTGTTTGCAGTATTTATGATTATTTACAGCTTTATGGGTATTTTACAAAATGCCCTTAATGAATGGAACCTTAAAGATCATATATTCCACCCTAACCTTTAAGTTTTGTAAATACAAAAACTTAGTTCAGTTGGGAAGGAAATGCCAAAACCAAAGTCTACAGGTATTTCTCTTGTTTCAAAGTGCTTTTCACTTTTGCAATGTACAATTTTACTCCTCCAAGTCACTGTATAAGATAAATCATCCAATATTACTTAATTTACTGTTTTATTATATTATGATTAAAGCCATTTTTCGGATTAGAGAAGTTCAGCTGTGGCAAGTTAAGAGACTGGTCTTGGATCACATCATATGGAGGAACCGCAGCTCAGAACCAGGCCTGAATTATTTATTATTAATGATGATGACAGTTTAGGACTGTAAATCCTACTCTGAGTATTTTTCCAAATAAGAAAAATCTGGCTGGTAGTCTACAGCAGTGATTCTAGAACACTAGGCTGTAACTGTGTATGACTCATCTAGAGGACTTGCTAAGCAGATTTATGCCCCACTTTAAATTTTTTCTTTTTTCTTTTTTTTTTTTTAATTTTTGCTATAGGGTATGTGTGCTCACTGGAGAGAGACAGAGAGAAGGAAAGTGAGGAATCACCCCCTTGAAGAGATAATCACACCATAATCCCTTCTCCTCCATTTTCCTCTTAGGATTTTCGCCATGCTCGCACATGACCCTGCATGATTTCAAGTCGCTGGGTCTGGGACTCAAACAGTGATTCAATCACAAGGAAATCCAGTGCCTTAACCTCCAAGCCACCAGCAGGCCCAGGCTTAGATACCTTAACAAGCATCCTCAGTGGCCCTGATGTCCACAGTTTATGGACCACACTTTGAGAAACTAAGGAAGTCAGGACCTTTGGAACCTCTCTTGCTCATTTTCAGATTTCTTCATGCTACCTCTATGTAGAGATGAGATGGATATTTAGAGAGGTGAAATTTTATTTAGCCTTCCTAATTTTTCGCAAAAAAGATTTCAATATATTTGAGTACTTTTTAAAACGTGTATATATGTACAACCCAGGAAACCCACATTCTGGGTCTATGATGATTACTACCTCCAGCTGTCTCCTGCTTTCTCTGGTAGGACAAGAGTATGTGACTGAGGGAGGCACCTCAGAACAGTGGTCCTCGAACTTTAGCAGCATCAAAGTCACTTGGAGGTGGCATGGCAATAGCCAGATGCAGTGCACATGGTGTCTGGTTCTTAGTTCTGGAGTGGCCCAAGAACTTGCATTTCTCCTACCTTCTGCTGATGCCATTGGTCTGGGGGCTGCTGGCCCTCAATCATTTATTTTTCTTTTGAGACATAGAACTTTTCAAAATGTGATGAAAGCCGTCGGTGTTTGCTCCTGAAAAATGCATATTCAAGAGCATTCTGCATATAATTTCAGGAGGTTTGTGGGTGCTTAGGGATTCATAGATCCTAGACTAAGAGCTTATCTGGAAATTTCAGGTTTATCCCCAGGTAAGGCCAAAGCAGCAGAGACAGATACGTTGCCCTGAGTTGTGTCTTACAGTTAGTCTTTTGCTGATGCTCTGTTTACCATGTGGAAACTGCCACAGGACTGTCCCTGTCACACTGACTATATGAGTGGGGTTAAGGACTTCATTCACTACATTAAGCATTCTCTCATATTAAGATCTAAGAAATATAAGCTATTTCTCTCCTTTGTAACGTCTTCTAATGGACAAAGCGAATCTTGTAAGTGGTCACACTTCCCCTTTTACTTTGGCTCAGCAAACTTAGATCCAAAATATATGACCTCAAATTAGCAAGCATTCAGGGCCTCTGGCCTGTATGTCCTCCTTCTTCCAGTCCCAATTTACTGTTTTACCTATTTTTTTTTTCTGGCTTAGACTTCATATTTGGTGTAGGTGAATTGTTTGAGATCTTCCCTCTAGTAGGCACTCATTCCTTATTCACAAGATTGTTCAGAAGTTTGGCCCCTGGTCTGAGCTAAGGCTGGGGACAGAGAGTCCACCAGCTCAGCACCGCAAGCCACTTCTCTCTTACACCTGACCCTGACATTCTACTGGCTTCAGACATCTCAGCTGAGATCCAAGTATTTCTTTTGAGCTGTAGCAAACTCTCTAGGGAACCAGGCTGGTTATGAATATAAAAACTTACTATTCATTTTCATATAAATAAGTAACATTCCCTCACTGAATTCTTATCAAAATCCCCTGAGGCAGCTGTTACTGGTTTGCTAAAGAAGAAATTAAGGCTTCTAAATGTGATTTACAAAATTCTAATACTGAGTAAGAAAGTGAATTGGGAACAGGACCCAGCCTTGACTCTTAATCAAGGTAACAGTGTTCTTTAACATTCATACCTCCGAGTCATTTGGCTGTTCTTTCAATTTATTTATGTAATCGACAAGCTTATTAGGTGTCTCTAAGTACCATCTAGCATACTAGTTGACATTTATATCAGTAAGACCTGATAGCCCTTACCTTCAAGTATCACAGAGTCTAGGAGGAAAATAAACAATTATAATATAAAGAGGTGAGTAACATAAAGAGAGAAGAAAGCAACAGGAAAGGTCACCAGAGAAGTATTTAATTGTCCTGTGATAATAACTAAGGTGTGGAGGGGAGAGAGAAAAATAGAGAAAGATGTAGAGTATGCAGTTGTCACAGAAGCTTCTAGAAAGAGGATTCCTGAATTGACGTTCAAAAGATGGCTATGATAAAGCCTGGTGAAGAGGCAAGGAAGCTTGTCATGTGGATGCCACCGCAGGTGCAAAAGCAAAGAAGGATGAGAAAGGAGAACTCAGTCCCTAATATTGATGCATATATATTACTGAGCTTTCCCCGTAACTACTTAAAATTGTGAATTTATCTACTGTCAAACAATGTTCTACTCTACTATTGGTTTATTGGAAAAGTTATGATGCATTTTTGCATAGAAAAACATAAAACATTACATCATGACTTTTCCAATGGCCCAACAGAAAAGCAATGAATATCCTTACCTTAATATTGATTATAACATCAGGTTTCAAATTTAAGTTTTTAATGAGTTCTATTTGCTGCAAAGTGGTCATGGAATCCTGAGAAAGGGATGGTATTTCAGTGATGATATAACCTGCAGAGTGAAATACAATTTTAAGTTTTATGTTATCAACATACGAGAACATGAATTTATTATTATTACATTATAAAACATCATCTAGCATTGATGGAAATTAATGCAGACCATAAAATTATCTGTCAAAATTTTTAAATGAACAGTTAAAGTTCTGGTCACATGAAGTGTAACTATAAACACTGCTTTGTGATAATAAAAAAATCAAGGGGCTAGGAGGAAAAATTTTTAAGGTTTTTTGCCAGAGAGCATGTGTGCTCGCCAGAGACAAAGAGACAGTGAGGGGGAAAGTGAAAAATCACCCTCTGGGGAGATGGTCGTGCTGTAATCCCTCCTCCTCCATTCTCCTTCGGAGATTTTGGACACACACACACACACACACACGCACACGGCGTGATTTCCACGCTGCCAAGTCTGGAACTCAGTCTCAGCTGACCATGTGGTAAGCCAGTGCCTTAACCACTACACCTGCTGGCCCTAAAAGGAAACAATTTTTAAAATTCCAAATAAATTTACTTTAGACAGCTGAGGTACCAGGGGAAGAAAGTTCCATGCTAAGAATTCTTTCAACCTGGGTTAGGAAAGCTTATATGATAGTAAAGGTATATTATAGTGGCTGCATGGCATGTTATTTGGCTCAGCAGGCATGGTTTTAACTTCACTGCAATTTATTTCTATCCCTGAATTCTTTGTGTGTGTGTGTGTGTGTGTGTGTGTGTGTGTATGTGTGTGGGGGTTATATATATGTGCATGTGGGGGGTTATATGTGCGTGTGTGTATGTGTGTATGGGTGGGTGGGGGTTATATATGTGTGCGTGTGCATGTGATATTTTTAGACAGCATCTCACTGTTTCTTGATCCTTCTGCCTCAGACTCCAGAGTTCAGACTCCTGCTCGGACTACAGGTATACAGCACTGCACCCAGCTTTTTAGCCTGGGCCTGGAATCAAATCTAGTCTCCCAGGTAGCCTCAGCTTACCAAGTATTGACAACCATCCTGCATGGCCATGACCATGCAGCATTTCTCTATTCTTAATGGTGACAATATTCTCTTTTATGTTACTGAGACTATATAGCAGCTGTCTAAAATTTTTTTCTTTCATTTAGTAAGTAGTGATAATAATCAGGTAGATTATTTTCTCTCAAGCTCATCTTCATTCTTCTTCCCATCTTTTGCAAATGTCTTAAAGTTTGATTTTTTCCCTTTTAGTACTTCTGTGGTCTTTGTCTTGAAAAATTAGATGCAGGGACCAGCAGTTAGTGTAATGGCTATGTCGCTGGACTCCCACGTAGTCGACCACAGTTCATATCCCGGACCCGGTGGCTTAAAACTCACGTGTGTGTGCCCAAGATCCCGAGAGGAGAGTGGAGGAGAAGGGATTGCGGTGTGACCATCCCCCCTGGGGGGGTGATTTCTCACTTTCTGTCTCTCTGTTTCTCTCTGTCTGGTGAACGCACGCGCCCTATAGCAAAAACCTCTTAAAAAAAAAATTAGATGCAAAGCCCTTGATGAGTACCCATTTAAGTACAGGGAAAATTTTCAGGCCTGGTCAGAGGGCAGACTAGATAAATAGGCTGAAGCTTGCTAGTCTAGAGTCAGAGGGCAACTAGCACACTCCAGTTTCCATTCCTGCCTCGTAAGTGCATATTAATACGGAGCAACCTGTCTGTCGTCAGGACTTAGTGAAAAAACTCCAGGTGAGAGTGGAAGCGGCCAGGAGACCACAGCACAGCAAATTTTGATGCTTTTGTTGGATAAATAAGTTTGGGTCAAAAAACTTCATTTTATTTAAACAAATATAGCATCCAGAGAATAAAAACAAACAAGCAAATAAAATGATCTGAACTGCTCAACTAATACATGCTAAGATTCATGCCAAGGTAAAATGAAACAGCAACCCCAGAAACTGTGCCTCAGACAAAGCATCAAGTTTAAGGCTGCTTTGCTGCTTGTAGGTATACAAGAATAAGCATACCAAAGTGAGAGACTTCTAGGGAATTCAGCTTTTCTATCATTAGCTTTGTAACGAGTTCATCTGGAACGCTTTGACCGCTGATCAGCAATGATTGCACCTAAGAACAAAAGCAGATATTATATGGTTGTTTTTTGAAAAATTTTTGCTGTAGGGTCCGTGTGCTCAGCAGAGAGACAGAAAGCGAGAAATCACCCCCCCCCCACCAGGGGAGATAGCCATGCCACAATCCCTTCTCCACTCTCCTCTTGGGATTTTGGGCATGCATGTATACATGACTGGCGTGAGTTTCAAGCAACCGGGTGAAGGACTTAGACCGTGGTTGACTGTGTGGGAGTCCGGTGCCTTAACCACTACACCATCTGCTGGCCCCCAGATATTGTACGTTGCTATATAACGTATCTCTGATACAGAACACTTTTGGTAATCAGTGACTTTGAAATTTAGATGTGTTTACCATAACTCCTGATTCAGTTTCAGCAGCAATCTGTTCTTCCAAAATTGATAGAGCTAAAACATGAAATCAAAATATTAGTACAAACTGGCATTTGGATTGGCAAAATCAGAAATACATTCAGCTGTCTCATAATTGGTAACAAAGATTAACATTTGTATATCACTTCAGAATTTAAAAGCATCTTTAGTCATTTAAAACTAAAAATAATAGAGACGGTAGAAGGTTTCCATAGAGAATTTGACCTTGCCACTCTAAAGAATCTTGGGGATGATAACTCCCTAGGAATCGCTGCACCATGGATACATATGCCCTGTGTAGCATTCAAGAGAACGTGACAGCCTGGCCACAGTGGTGCAGGTGGTAGTATGCCAAATAGCAGTGTTGAAAGCCAATGGTGGGTGTGGACTTACAGGACTGGCTGGCCTGAAACGTGCCCAGTGTGCACACGTGCCCAAGATCTGACAAGCTGGAGGGCAGGGGGAAGGGACCACAGCATGGTGAGACCCTGTGGAGGGTGCTCCTCTCTTTCTCTTTCATACACAAGCATGCGTGTAGCCTATCATAAATAAAGAAAAAGAATCTGAGGAAGAAATGAGGCGGTGTGCAAGATGATAATCTGCAAACTATAAGGTACCACACAGAAGTGTACACTTACTAGTGCAGATACTTTTAGAACCATACAGTTATATCCACAGCCCACTAATTTTGTACACTGATTGTATAAAGGGAAATGTATGCATCAGGAAATGTTAACATGGAAAAAACACTGATTAGAAAAACGGGTCCTGCGGCTGAAATTTCAATGATTTGTTTTCTTTTCCTCTTCTGATAAGAAATAGGATTTATCTGTGCTGTTTTACAATGTTACACACACACACACACACACACACGCATGCGCTTATTTATTTTTAGATAGATTTTTGCTATAGGGCTTATGTGCTTGCTGGAGAGACAGAGAGACAGAAAGAGAGAAGTTACCCCCTCCCCCAGGAGGGATGGCCGCAACACAATCCCTTCTCCATTTTCCTCTTTGGATTTTGGGCATGCATACATGTGTGCCTGGCAAGTTTTAAGGCTCTGGGTCCAGGACTTGAACTGAAGTCGACTATATGGGAGTCCAGCGATGTAGCCATTATGCCATCTGCTGGTCCCTAAAAGAATATTTATATTTAAAGATATTGATTGTCCTGTATGTTGCAAAGAATACAAGACAATTTACAAATAAGAAAGACAATTTTATCACTGAAGTCCTGACAAATGCTTCTGAGACAAATTGTAAGAGTTCTTTCTTTTTTCATCTTTCCTAAGACACCTAAAATGCACCTATGACATGGGGCTGGCATGTGGCGTGGTGGTTAAAGGCGCTGGACTCACGCATGGCTGACCACAGTTTAGGTCCCAGACCTGGTGGCTTGCTTTCTCACTTTCCCTCTCTTTCTCTCTTTCTCTCTGATCAAACTGGAAAATAATAATAATAAATAAAATAATTCTTTAAAAAATGCACATATGACAAATAGTTCTAAATTATGGAATTAGAGACATGGAGGCAATAAAATGAAGCAGAGAATGTTTTATAAACTCTCCTAAATCCTATCCACAAAACTAGGACTAACAGAGGGCAGAACACGATTGGATAGGTGCTATTGTAAAGATAATCATCACTAGATTGATGTCGTATGTGTGATAAAGCAAACACCAAAACGTTCATCATAGAATCTATTTGGTAGTTAGATAGGTATATAGGTGTCCATTGTGTAATTCTGCCCATTTTCTACATATTTGAACATTTTCATAATAAAATATTGGGAAAAAAGATAAAATTTACCTTCAACACGAATACATTTCCATGCCTGTGCTATATGGCGGGCTAATGTTGACTTTCCAACTCCCTTAAAAAGAGAAATGTTATTCAATACTCAAAAGCACAGTCATTTGTCCAAGAAACAGATATACCAATTTTAAAAGATCTTATTGATGGTTACTATTATATCAAGAAAATAAAGTGATTTTTTCCCATAAAAAATGTAGAGTAGATCCTAGACATTTAAGCTTTGTTTTTCTCTTCTAATTCTTCCACATGCCACATCTTCTGAAGTGACTTAAATAAATGCTTTTCCATGGTGAATCTAGGAAACTTTTAAAAATTAATTTTCCATTTTATATGAAGTTTCCATCATGTTTTGTATGTGTCTATTTATTTATTTATCTATCTATATAACTTTTTTTCAAAAGAGAACTTTACATTTTTCCATCTGTCAAATGTTTCCTTCTCTTGCACCTCACACCCACCCTCCACCACCTGTTCTCCACCATCCACAGTCTCTTGCATCCACCCCCATCCTCTCCACCATCACATCTTCAGATCTCTCAGCTTCTGCCATAGAGTGCAGACACTTGGTACAAATTGAATGAGGATATACAATGTGTATCTTTCAAAGTCTGGCTCACTTTGCTCAATGTTAAATCTTCTATATTCATTAACTTTGAGTCAAGTGATAGGATCTCCTTTTCTAATAGCTGAGTAATATTTCGTAGTATGTATGTGCCACAGTTTTTCAACCCAGTCATCAGTTTTTGGACACTTAGGTTGGTTCCATGTTTTAGCAATTGTGAATAATGCTGCAATAAACATGGATGTGCAAGTGTCTTTTCAATGAAGTGTTTTCTTATTCTTTGAGTAAGTACCAAGGAGCAGGATTACTGGGTTATATGGTAGTTCTCTTGGTAGGTTTTTGAGGAACCTCCACAAAAGTCAAACTAACCTTACACAGAAGTCAAACTAATTTACATTCCCATCAACAGCATTAAGAGGGTTCCCTTTTCTCCACAGCTTCAGCAGAACTTACTGTTAATTATTTTTGATCCTAGCCATTCTAACTGGGTTTAATTGGTATTCCATTGTGATTTTAATTTGCCTTTTCCTTATGACAAGAGACTTTGGACATTTTTCCATATTCCTTTTAGCCATTCAGAAGTCTTTGGGGAGATATCTATTCAATTCATTGCCCCCCCCCCTTAATTTTTTTTTCATAGGGTGTGTATGCTTGCTGGAGAGAGATAGGGAGAGACAATGAGGGGGAAAGTGAGAACTCACCCCCTCTCTTGGGAAATGGCCACACTGCAATCCCTTCTCCATCATTCTCTTTCTGGGATTTTGGGCCTGTACACACATGTGTCTGGTGTGATTTTCAAGCCACCAGGTCCAGGATTCTAATTGTGATTGGCCATATGATATGGGAGTCCCCCATCTTCACTACACCATCTGATGGTCCCCCTTTGCCCATTTTTAATTGGATTGTTCTTTTTTTTTTTTCAATGGGCAAGTAGCTTGAGTTCCCTATATAATCTGGATATCAATCCCTTGTCTGAGGAATAATTTGCAAATATTTTCTCCCATTCCAAGGATTGTCTTTTCACTCTAAGTATTGTTTCCTTTGATGTGAGGAAGATTTTTAGCTTCATGTCTATTTTGGAGATATGCTTTAGGGGTTTTATTTAAGAAATCTTTGCCTTCAATAGTCTCCCATATATTTTCTTCTAGTAATTGTATAGTTTGAGGCTTTATATTTAAATCTTTGATCCTAAATGACAATTTATTTTATTTTTATTATTCTTTTTTTTAAACATTCAGTTGCTATATATCATTTGGCTTGTAATGAGAATTTATTTAACATGAAATCTCAGACCAGTCCAGTTGAGAATACTATACACATTATCATCAATAGGTAATAAACCATTTCTGTGTCCCACAAATGTCTTGCCTCTCTATTTTTTCTCCCTAATTTCCTTCCCTATACTTTTCCCTTCTCCCACCCTCTTTAATAACAATTTTTAAATTAAGAAAATAGCTCTTGGGCTAGCTGGCGCCAAGATGGCTAAGGCAGCTGGATCCCACCTAACCAACTGTGCAGCTCAGCTCCCAGACCCAGTAGCTTGGAAAACACAATGGGTGCATGTGTTTGCATGCACATGCAATCCCGAAAGAAGAGATGAAGAAGGAATTGTAGTGTGACTGTCCATCATAGAGGGTGCATTCTCACTTTCTCTATTTCTTCTTGGCAAGTGTTTGTGCCCTACAATAATTATGAGAAAAAAAAAAAGATAGCCCTGAAATTAGAAAACTATAATATTATAATATTGTACCCTCTGTATTGTCAACTTTTTAATTTTTAAAAAAATTAGCTAGAGTGTGCATGCATTTGCTAATAAGAGACAGAGAGTCAGACAGAAGAGAGAGAGAAAGCACTCTCCATGGGGTATGGTCATACTAAATCCCTTCTCCTCTATCTCTCCCTTCTTTGGGGATTTTGGGCTTACACACACATGCACTTTGTGTGTTTCTCAAGCCACTGAGTCTGAGACCTGAACTATGTGGTTGTCCATGTGGGATCCAGCTCCCTTACATACCAGGCCATGGGCTGGTCCCATTTTTGTAATTTTGATTATAAATCATTGTGATTATATTGAGATTCATCATTTTATTTCCTTCCTAAAGTTTATAATCATGATTTTTTTTTTAATTTGCTATAGGGTGCATGCACTTGCCTGAGAGAAATAAAGAAAGGGAAAGTGAGAAAGCACTTCCCAGATGGGATGTCCACACCTCAGTCCCTTCTCCTCCATTCTCCTCTCAGGATTTTGGTGATCCATGCACATGCACCCAGAATGTTTTCCAAGCCTCTGGATCTGGGACTCAAACCATGCAATCGGTCACATTTTCCAAGCCTCTGGATCTGGGACTCAAACCGTGCAATCGGTCATGTGAGATTCAACCACCTTAACCACCACAACACCAGCTGGCCCTTCAATGTTTTATTCGAATGATTTTTTTTGTAATTTGTAAGAGTAAAGAAATTCTTCTTAATGACATCGTTGGAAAGTATCTACTTTAAAGATAAAATTTCACTTTCATGAAGCAGCAATGCATCTGGTAGCTTTTACTGTTGACTTTTAAAACCATTTTATGTTTTCAGAAACATCATAAAAGTTGTTGGAACCATTTCTTGGTACTTCCTCCTAAATTCATATAAAATAAAGTCAAGCATAGGATCCAGTCCTTAATCTCTTCTGTTCTAGAAAGGCTCTTTAATCAGGTCAGACCCCCTAGTGGTAACTAGTTTAGTACCTGAAAATAGCTCTTATCTACAAGTCCTTACTAAAACTGTCTAGAAAGGCAGAATAGCTTAGAACAGCCATTTGGGTTTCTTCTCGTTTTGTGGAAAGCCAATACGTAGGTCCTCTAACGTACTGTAGGGACGGCGGAGATGTGGCTTCTCAGTATCTCCAGGTATTAACAGGACAAACTCCCAGCTTGTCCTACCTTCACACATCCAGGGAGCCTTGCAACTAGTTTCAAAGAAAGTTTTCTATACAAAACAAAGTCTGAAATAACTTTAGATCACATACTACTAACAATTATTATGGTCCATTACATAATGAGTTCATTTCCTCATAATACCCAAACTTACATAAATACAATAAAGGTTTTTTTTCAATGACAGTGCATTAGAAGAGAAAATGTAATGAATTTTTAACGAGATTTAAAGTCATACAATGAGAATCTATCAGACACTGAAAAAATTGGCACATTATGGTTTTCATTCTTATGTGGTGACTTATGAGACTATGATTTTGAAAAATAAAAAAATGAACTAATAAATTAGAAAGTATAACTTACTGGTTTCCCAAATATAACAAAGCAAACAGGTTTGGACAACAAAAAATTGTTTTCATTTTCATCTTCACTAAATATATCTGCAAAAGGATGCTCTTCTGTCTTCTCTTGAGAAATCATAATACGAAATACTACAACAAGAAGGAATACAATTGTTAAAATACTTAATGTGATTGAAATAGGCAGGCTAGGTAGAGCTGGGATATCCTTTGAATTTACTTAGACCACACCATTCCACACCACTAAACACATGGATTTTGCCAGGAATTGCGAATAAGTTAAACTCAGTAACTAAAACAATAGGCTCTTAATCTGAGACAAAAACAAAATTCAACTACATGTTGTATAAAAGAGCTCAAACGAAGTGTTTCAGAAAAAATAAAGACAATAAGTATGTTATTATGTGTCTTTTATATTAAAAATCAAATTAGGGGCCGGCAGGTGGTGTGGTGGTTAAGAGTGCTGGACTCTCACATAGCTGACCATGGTTCAAGTCCCTGACTTGATGGTTTGCCTTCTCACTTTCCCTTTCTCTCGTTCTCTCTTACTCTGTCCTTTTTTGGTTAAATTAAAATAAATACACAAATAAAGTTAAATAAAATAATTCTAAAAGAATCAAATTAAAGTTGAGTATCTTATATATACAATTTCCCAGAAACATAAAAGATAATCATGGCTAAATTTATTAGATTCATATTTTTATATTTTAGGAAACCTTGACTTATTCCATACAGAAAACTTTTCCAAAAGTAATGAAAGTTTTATAGTTTTTTTTTTTTTTTTGAGAGGTTTTTGCTATAAGGAGCGTGCGCTCGCCAGACAGAGAAAGACATAGAGACAGAAAGCGAGAAATCACCCCCCCGGGGGGATGGTCACGCCGCAATCCCTTCTCCTCCATTCTCCTCTCAGGATCTTGGGCACGCACGCACATGCGCCCGGCGTGAGTTTTAAGTCACCGGGTCTGGGACGTGAACCGTGGTCGACTACGTGGGAGTCCAGCGACATAGCCATTACCCTAACTGCTGGTTCCCTAGAATTTAACAGGTTTTTTAAAAATTTATTTTTCTTAAAGTTTTTGCCACCGGGCGTGTGCATTTGCTGGAGAGTCACAGAAAGGGAAAGTGAGAAATCATCTCCCAGGGGGTAAAGCCATGCTGCAGTCCCCTTTCCCGCCCTCCTCTCTAGATTGTAGGCATGCACTCACCAGTGCCCGGCATATTTCTCAAGCCACTGCAGTGGTCTGGGACTTGAAGGACTTGAAGAATGGATGCAGTCAGGCATGTGGGATCCAGTCACCTTAAACTCCATGCTACCTGCTGGCCCTTTACAGATACTTTAAAAAATGTTTTTCTAATTAAAAAACATTGAGTAAATATTTAGCTCCTATTTAGAAGAGTTGGTTTTCATTACAAAATGGGACAGAGCTAAATATTTTTCCAATGAAAAGATCCAGGTTCATGCAAAATTTCAGAATTGACATGGCTGTTTTATTAAAAGGCATATCAAACTATGAAAGAAATGAAATGATATATAAATACTCCTTTAAAAACTTTTGTAACTTCTCAATTTTGAGTCTACAGTATAATTTCTAATATGGGTTATGTGTTGTGCTATAATTCTATAAGCTCTTAAAATTTTCAGTACGCTTTTAACAGTTGAGAAACCCTTCAGCACTGGATTGTGAGGTTGAGAGAGGTCACATCTTGGAAACCGAGCTCTTCTGCCTAGGCTAGGTTTCGCTCCAGGAGGTCTTAGACTCTAGTAGAAAGTCTTCAGTAAATATTTGCGAAATAAAAATACTAGTTGTAGAAAGAAGTGGTTTTAACTAGTGGATTTACGAATAGGTCCCAGAGTATACTTTTGCAAGGAAAGGAACAGGTTGGGATGCCACAGTAGCTGAGCTTCGGTGCAACCGACACAAAAAACACATCTGGCGGTGGACAACGACACCCGCCACATACACCAGGAAAAAGGCGGCTTACCTGGTTGAAAAGGAGTACTTTAGGGTCTAGGCAGCAGCCGCCTCCAGAGGCTCCCGGGATCTGTTGAGCGGTTGCTAGGGAAACCGCTCGCGGCTGCGCGCAGGCCCTCTAGCAGGGCGGAGCCTGTGTGTGTGTGGCACCGTAATTGTGTTTCTTGTTCTAAGTATTCGCTGATACCTAATTTTGTATTCGCACTCCTTTTCACAAATGTGGAAGGTGATGATTAGAGAGGGCACATACATTGCACATTCATATTCGCACACATCAAATGGGAGAATTTTAACTTAGGACATGTAAAACAATCGTTTAAAGAGGTGTTTGCCTTAAGGCACGTGCCTCGCTGGAGGGAGCGAGACAAAGACAATGAGAGGGAAAGTGAGAAGTCATCACCCAAGGGGGATGGCCACGCCGCAATCCCTTCTCCATTCTCTTCCCAGGGTCTTGGGCATCCACCGCCCACGTGCGCGGCGTGTCAAGCCACGTTCGGGACTCCAACAGCGGTCAGCCATGTGGGAGTCTATCCAGGTAACCGTTACTCCATCTGTGTCCCCTAACCTAGGACATTTTAACCTAGGACAGTCGGACTTTCCTTCCCTCCACCTAAGAAATACCACGGAGTAGGAAAACTGAAAACTTACCGAGTTACAGGTCTGAGTTTTCGCGTACCCGCTGCCTGCACAGTACGAGTGCACTCTAGAACTTTCACAGACTAGTGCTCGTGCCTACACTGCTCTCCATAGTCTAATTTAAAATTTGCAGATGGTTAGCCTCAGGCACAAACACGTGGGAATGTCCACCTATAATTGACTGGAAAAAAACAATCCCCTGGAGTACACCACCTCAGTACAATACGGTCTTGTTGATTCTCATAATGATAGGCAACAAAGAGAGCTGAGGTTTTGGAAAAGCACTCAGGGAAGGACCATCGGATAGGTTTTCAGGAAAGTGAGGGCAGACGTAGGCAGGGAAAAAACAGATCAACTTGGGAATGGATTTGTCCTGCACTTGGAGACTCGGCTTCCAATGAAGCAAACCAACTCCAAATTATCCCCAAAGAAAGGGAGGGACACTCAAAGAATCCCACGACTTTTCTCCCGCCCACACCAAAGATGGCTCCTCCCGCTTCCTCCCTTGCAGCACGCCAGTTCCGGGTGCCTCTAGACGACCTCTCAATGGTACACCCTCCAGCCACGCCCACTCAGCCTGGGCGGGGCCTGGCCGGAGGCGGGGCGCAGGGATCCGGAAACACCTGGGTTGTAGTAGTAGCAGGTCGTCTGAGCTGCACTGCCCCGAGGCGTTAATCCTGGCTGGACCTGGAGCAGGGTCTGAGGTGTTCTCTCTCCGGGTCTCCTGGGGCGGATCACCAGCTGCCACACCCGGGACGCGGCCTGGTGCCCTGTCGTGGGGCCCTCTTTCGCTCGCGACATGCCCACGGCCGCTGTCCCCATCATCAGCTCGGTCCAGAAGCTGGTTCTGTACGAGACCAGGGCTGTGAGTACCCGGCGGCGGCGGGACGCTGACGGGCGGATGGCGGTCGGCTGGGGGATGTGGGGCACACGGCAGAGGCAGCTCCCCGCCTCCTCTTCCCGCGCCCCACTTCCCTAATCCCTCCCAAACAGCCCTGGGACAGATCGGCCCTTCTGGGCTGTGCAGGGGTCGTCACCCTGACTCCCCAGCCAGAGCACTGCTGCGTTTGAGTGTGCGTGGAACACGCTGCAAACCGGTGCCCGTGGCACCTCAGAAACTGTTCCTGAGCTTCTGTACGAGTGCCTGGATTCTTTCAGCTTTCAGAAAGTCTGTGAAAGTTCTAGAGTGCACTCGGTACTGTGCAGGCAGGGATACGCGAAAACTCAGACCTGCAACTCAGTAATTTTTCAGTTTCCTATTCCGTGGTATACACCATCACTGTGACGTTACTTATGTACGCTTTTGCTGTTGAGATTTCCCGATCTATTTTTCTTAGGTGGAAGGAAAGGAAAACGATTAAAAACAGTTCATGTATGTGGGTAACATCTTGCTATTCATGTAACTTTTTTCAACACATTAAATTTTTAAAAGTTATTACTTTAAATGTCCATGTAAATACTGAATAAGGTCAACATTAATGTGTGGGTTACTAAGTTCCTAACGCAGGAAATGGTGTTTATAGAACTTCAAAATTTGTCATTTCTGGGTTTGCAAAGCGATGTTGAAGGAGTACAGCTTTTCTAAACTCGAGTACCACGCTAAGAATGGGGTCAATGTTTAAGATTACCCACTTCATAATAACAAGATTGCATACATTGGATACTTGCATGAAGAGTATCCGGTAAGGCTCATTCAAGTGAAGCTTTGGTTGTCACCACTAGAGTACAAGAAGGTGCACAACTTCGCTGTTACAATGTAATTCCAGTAGTGTGTCTGCCTCTGGTCATCATGAGTGTAGTTTCATCATTGACCCTAAATTAATTTTGTTGGCTCCTTCATTTGATTAGATTCAGGTCAGAAGATAAAATCATTTAATATGCCATACATTGCAAGTTTCTTCAGTTCTATGAAGACTGTCACACAGAAGTATCATTGTGACACTGAAATGAAACCTACTTTCTGTAAAGTGTGCTGGTAAATGTCCCTAGTTAGAAACATAAATAACTTAAAAATTTAAGCCGATTAAAAAGCTGAGTACTCATGAAGATGGCTGAAATGTTAGTGTTTTTGGGACCAGCAGTTAGCGTAATGGCTATGTCGCTGGACTCCCATATAGCCAACCATAGTTTGAGCCCTGGACCCGGTGGCTTAAACCCACACCGGGTGCGTGTGCGTGCATGCCCAAGATCTCGAGAGGAGAATGGAGGAGAAGGGGTTGCGGCGTGGCCATCCCCCCCGGGGGGTGATTTCTCGCTTTCTGTTTCTCTCTCTCTCTCTGTCTCTTTCTGTCTTTCTGGCGAGCGCACGCGCCCTATAGCAAAAACCTCTCAAAAAAAAAAAAAAAAGTGTTCTTTCTAAAGCATAGTGGTTACTCTATGGGGTCTTCAGCTCCAAAATCTTCATCCAACCCTTGTTCTGGAGAAGAGTAAACTCTGAATCCCTTAGTTTGGCATTCAAAGCCACACGTGATTTGTCTCCCGCTTGTCTGTCTCGTCATATATCTAATTTAATATCAATTCATGAAATGCTTGAATTATGTGCCTGTATGTGCCTTACTCTGCAGTAGGACTGTGTTGATCTCGGTCCCCTGTGTGTACCTGTGATGTTTTGCTGTTCTGTCTGGTCATGTCCCACTCCCTTCTTTTCCCCTCAGAACCCTGATGGTCTTTACAGCAGATAGCAGGTACATGCCTTGCAAATAATAGGCTCCCAATAGATGCTGGTTAAGACCATCCAAAAAAGAAGTGTGTTCTAGAACTCTGTGATGACCCCTTTGAGCCACCTGAGTAACAGAAACTAACAGGCCAAGTTAATGATAAAAAGTAAATTTATAAGAAGGTTGCGGGCAGAGCTATTGCATAGAAACATTAGAGGATCCTAACTCACCAGCTTCTGTAAAAGTAGAAACTATCTGTTTCAGGGAATGGTTGGATCTAGGCAACCATCTTGAGAAATGTCTGCTGCAGTGAATCACTGAACCTCAGTTTCCTTGGCAGTATAAATAGATATTTATTATCATTATTTTTAAAAGAATTATTTATTTAATTTTATTTGTTATTATTATTTATTTTTTAAATTTTACCAGAGAGAGACTGAGAGAGTGAGAGAAAGGGAAAGTGAGAAAGCAAGTCCCAGGTCCGGGGCTCAAACCACAGTCAGCCATGTGAGAGTCCAGTGCCTTGACCACTATGTATATATATATATATATATACTTAAGAAAAAGTCATAACATTATTGGCAACTAAATAAATCTTAGGAATTAAAAAAAAGTGAATAGGTTGCAATAATGAGAATAATAATATTCATGGAGTATGTCTATGCTGGGCACAGTTCAAAGCGCTGTATGTGTATTTTATTATGTAATCTTCACAGAACCGGTAAGTGGTCAATGCTGTTACTACTACTGCAATTTCTGCTACTGTATTATTATTGTTCAGTGAAGAAGAAAATGAACCAAAAGTTTAGGATGGGGCTACTTAAAGTATGATGTGCGAACTGGTGCTAGCATACGTATTTGTAACTAGGGTGTGACAAATTTATGTAGAAATTGGAATTAAATGATTAGAAACTTTAAAAAATTAGTTTGACAGAGTAATTTCATTTCTCATGCATTAGGTAATTTAGAAAATTGGGATTGTTGTTTGAAAGTCTTTGCTTTTTGTTTTAAAAAACATACACAAAGTAGAGGTTGGCCGATGGTGGAGCAGTTTTGTCACTGAACTCCTGCATGGCTGACCACGGTTCAAGTTCCTACCTTGGTGACTAGAAAAGTCACACAGTGTGTGGGTGCATGTGTGTCCAAGGTCCAGAGAGGAGAATAGATGAGAAGTGATTGTGGTGTGGGCCACTCTCCCCCCACCTCCCCCATGATTTCTCACTTTCCCTCTCACCATCACCGTCACCACCGGCTCCCTCTCTCTCCCTGACAAGTGCACATTCCCTAAGATAAAAACCTCTTAAAACAAAAAATACACAAAGTAAACAGAATACTATTTTAAACTCCCATATATCCATTACCTTGTTTCAAAGTTTACAACATTCTGTCATTCTTTATTATCTAAACTTGTTTCATGCACTGGTTACTATTACTGGTTTTTTTCCCCATTTTTCATTTCTGCAATATTCTATTGGTTACACAATAGTCTATTGGTTATACAGCCCTGTGTAACCAATAGAATATTTGTTCCTGTTCATTATGGGAACAGATATCAGGAGAAAATATCAGGAGATACTTGTTCATTAGGGAATCATTAAGGATTTTTGGTGGCTGGCTGCTAGAGGATTGAGGTCCACTTTCTTTCTTTCTTTCTTTCTTTCTTTCTTTCTTTTTTTTTAAATGTATCAATTGTCCAGTATCATTTATTTAAAAAAAATTTTTTTTCTCTATTGGATTTCTTTGGCACTTTGATGAAAAAGGTAGTTGACTGAATAAATGTGGAGCTATTCTTAAATTATT